ATTAACAGCTTAAAACTAAAAAAGTCACCTGGATTTGACGTAATAAGGGCTGAAACAATCAAAGAAATAGCTACAGAGATCACACCGGTATGTTAACATTTATTTTGATAAATAAACTTATTATATAGTATTATAAACCTAAAGACATTATTAAATTTTTATTATTTTTTGTATTACAATCATAGAAATATATTTAGTGATGCTCTTGAAAGAAATGTTTTATACTGCTACTGCTTTTTTGTTCGAGTAGGAAGTTTTAACCTATTTTAGCGTTCACAAATGTCAGAGTTATGTAAAACTTCAAAAGAGTCAAGAATTTTCACTTATAATTTTTAAAATTTTCCTTATCGAATTGATATTTCTTAACCGCATTATTATAATTTATATCAAAATTTCGTTTTTTTTTTCTAATATTTTGCCTTGCTGTCCACTTTAGTATGAACAATGATACATTAAGAATTTTACCAACATAAAAACAAATATTTTTAAGCTTTCTTCGAGTGTTGAGGAGAAAACTGTATCCAGAAAATTTTCGACAAAAACTTTTTTTCATGACCTTTGTGAAAACACGGATTTACGTTTTTTTGTGTCTAAAAAAGTTTGAACCTCTGAGAGTATTACTCTGCCGATTTTGTAAAACGTTCTTAATCGTCTTTATGCCCAACAAATCCTGCTAGACGCACAGATCAGCTACTTCCACATACATGTTATTATTTATACTACCATTATAAAATGTTATTTACTAAATCTGTCCAGTCAATATAAAATTAATTATTTCATAATTATTTGTCTTGGTCAATTTCCAAACAGAAATATTTTCTTGAATTTTTCAAATGTTATGATATATGACCTTGCGGGGTCCATACACGAATTAATCATGAAAATTAAATGTTTGTTTAGCGCCGCAAAATAGACTAATAAGACAATGTTAAAGTTAAAATTTTAATTTTTTTGAATGAATTTTCGGCAACCTAAGTTAGGCGCCATCAGTTTAAATCATCTGCCGCTTTGTTAGATGGATTTTGAGCAGTTAACTATTCTAATGAATGCATAAATGTATTCATTGGTTCTAATCCCGTAAAATTGTTTTGTTTCAACTTTTTTGTTATTATTTTGAGTTTTATCGGGTTTGTTTTGCTTTTAATATAAAATTAAGAGATTAGTTTTTTCAATAATGGATAAACGGTACTTGACCCTCAAATAAACGTTAAAAAAATGATTTTATAATTTTTAATGATTTATTTTACAAACAGAAACAACAGGATTCATGCAAACAACAAATTGAATTAAATATTTATTTATATCTTACAGATTTCAATATATTTCAGAATTATTGCAATTGACTATTCCTGATAACTATATTTTCTTCCATTATTAAAATACAACTTTTCTTGCTGTTAATGACATAAATTCCTGGAAAATTTGACTTGCATCCATAATGTCACATTTTGTGCTGTCAAATGAAATTAGTGATCAGCAAATCTTTGATTAAGTTCGACTTCGAAAATAAAGGTAGAACCGACGCTGGATAGGACTAACATCACTAACTTTTTGGGCCCACTATGAAGACGTTTAACAAGGGAACGCAATGATTGTTCCAATGAACTTAACACCTAATTTAAAAACAGATTTAGAATGCAACCTTTCGCTGCTACACTCCATTCAAAACTGACAGACGAATGAGAAATTGTATTAACCGCTTGCTAAATTATATCAGTCTGCTACATTTTTAGTGGCGAATACGGGCCTTAGAACTATTGAATGGGCAATACTTCAAGGAGATAATAAAGTACACCTAATTCACAACGCAGAGAACAATCAACTTTTCCTTGAAGAAAATGGAAGGAATAAATTGCTGTTCGACCCCCAGTCACCTAGGGAGAATTTGCTAAAAAGCGGGAAAAGCCCATCAGGTTATCAAAGAAGAAGAAAAATGTTGGATTTTGATTACATGATTGGTCAAGCGAAGACCTTTTAATAATAACATGACTTTCTCAGATAAATACAGAATAAGACTTTTATTCTGTTTGGTATATTGGGTATGTTATTGTAAATTATGCAAGGTATCTGGTTATATTTGACACCCACCTGCAGGCTTTATTTAAAAAATATCAAAAAAGATTAGAAATTGGTTAGGAAAATTATACTGAACGATTTAAAGGTAAAGAAAGAACATTATATTTTAGAAACCGCGTTGACTCTACCTGTTATTTGAAGGTCCACCAGGTCTGCCGGTCTTACCGTTTTACAGAATAACCCTCAGAGTAAAAGCAAAATGCTATAAAGTTCCCGATATTTGTCAGTGCCAGCATATGCTACATCATTTTTCGAATTAACAAAACCAAAGTTTATTAAACACAATTACAATAAATTTGAAACGAAGAATCATATTCCCAAAATTTTAATTTAGTGTCTCCATACGTTAAAAACAAATAAAGAGAGGAATCTTGCCTTATTCACTTGTCCAACAATCCAGCATATGTGTTTTTTATTATTTTTATAAACTCGGCAAAGAAATTGACCAATTACAAAAATGATTCTGAAAGAGCCCTCAAGCCCATCATTTTTTTTTTATTTTGACTCTACCTGTTATTTGAAGGTCCACCAGGTCTGCCGGTCTTACCGTTTTACAGAATAACCCTCAGACTAAAAGCAAAATGCTATAAAGTTCCCATTATTTGTCAGTGCCAGCATATGCTACTTCATTAAATGGAAATTATTTCTTTCAATGAAAATGTGACAACAAAATTTCTTTTTTCGAATTAACAAAACCAAAGTTTATTAAACACAATTACAATAAATTTGAAACGAAGAATCATATTCCCAAAATTTTAATTTAGTGTCTCCATACGTTAAAAACAAATAAAGAGAGGAATCTTGCCTTATTCACTTGTCCAACAATCCAGCATATGTGTTTTTTATTATTTTTATAAATTCGGCAAAGAAATTGACCAATTACAAAAATGATTCTGAAAGAGCCCTCAAGCCCATCATTTTTTTTTTAATTTTTAACTAAGAGGGGCTGTTAATTTAACATGTTGGCCACGAATAATTTTTTTTATGCGCAGCGTTCCGCCATCTAGTAATCGAAGTTTTCCCTATGCAAAAATAAGCCAGAATTCCTCTGACGATGTTGACTTACTTGAAAGTGTCTTTGATAGATGGCGCCCTGCCTAAAATAATCGGTTTTATTTTAATTGTAGGTTTATTGACAAAATCAAGGATTAAATACGACCGATTTAACTGAGAGATAAAATGAATCAATTACAAGCGAAACGCAATTTGAACTACAAAAAACATAATGGTATTAGGTGGATGCTGGAAAGATGTGTGTGTTTTGTATATTCGATATGGAAGATATCAAAAATGACTTTATTCTTAGAACTTCATCATCCTATATTTCGAAAACGAAACCTCTCGTGGCGTAGAGGTTGGCGCAATATTGTGGCAAAGTATTATGTCTCCCTCACATATTATTATTTTAAAAAACGTTTTGAAAATCCAAAAACATAATCAATTATACAAGTCGTCATAAAAGCGGGGCAAAGCTTAACTAAAGTGATTGAGATAGCACAGCTGAGCACGAGAAAGGATCTAGAACGTTTCATTTAACAAATCAAAGTAAAACCAGTATTAAGTTTGTCAAGTTGGAGGAATAGCAATATGAAAAAATATATAGGGTTCACGATTTTATGAAACACCCAGTTTTGAAGTTTGAATTCTTCATTTTGCGGCACCATATATTGATAAATATTATTGTAATAAATTCAAAATATTGATATGTATTATTTATTAATAAAGCAAGCCTTTTCAGGCTTTCGTCGCTCAAGGCTACTTTTTAATTTTCAAGTGCTACAAAGAGATATGTTACAGCTATGTTGGATTTTTAAAAGCAGGTTGATTTTGGAAATTTTTACATTTTTAGGTACCCTTTGAAGTTCGCTTATCCAAAAGTTGAATACCGGTTTAGATTAGGGTATTCATGTAGATTCCAGAGGCGTAGTCAGTTTTCTTCCGAAATTTTTATAACCAAACTAGATTTGTGTGTTTTTTAATCGAACATCCTCTATGTATTTTAATAATTTTATTAGGCTTGATATTAGCTTTTCAAAAATATAGAGTACATAAGAAGTATTTGAACTACAAAGTTTCAATCTTTAACTTTGTTATTATTTTATGAATAGGTAATGGACTAAAGCCCGTAGTCAGTAGTAGAATCCGTTTTTCTAATAGACCTTTCCCTCCTCTCCCTCTGCTATGGCTCCTGTTAACACCAAAAATCAATATAAGGTTACTTTGACAGGTAACCAACTTTGCATAAAAAATCATGTAATTTATGCAAAAATATAATGCATTTTCCATGGCCTACTCATATTTTTTTTTTAAATGTATGGTCTTTATATTTGAAACAATTCTTTCGTGACACGCATAAAATTATTAAAAAATACACAAAGACACATAAAAAAACCCTATCAGACCAGTACCGAAGTACAAAGAGTGTCTCAAAACCTACAATTTTCAAAATCACCCTGTCCCTAGACTGCAAGACAGCTATGACATTTTTGTTTGTAACGATAACGATAATACGCCGAAAAACCAACAAAAAAGCGGTACACTCTGTACATAATGTAACCTTACGGAATCCCGTAAAACATTGGTCTATTTATTTTTTAAATTTAATCCTTCTGAATCTATGCCAATCAATTACAAAAATTAATGCGAATGCGAATTATGAGCGACAATTTTTTTTTTGGCAGAAAGGAGGCAAAGCGAAGATGTTGCTTCTAGCGAAAGCGGATATTCGTATTCCGAATAAAGTTTGCTAAAACTTTCCGAAATTCCCATATCGTGTAAAACTATTTGCAGTAACTATTATTTCTCTCTCGATGTATAACATATGAATTATTTAAGCAAAGTCAACTGTAAACTAATGGTTTCTGTTAATGTTTCGCGCAAACAATACTTTTATTATACTTTCTTTGAGGTGTTGGCCTGTTTTAGAGCCAATAAGGTGCATTAGAATCCGTTCAAGATACAGTCTTTCGTGTGCATTGCGCGACTTCCGTTATGAGGAATGTGGCTGCGGTGATTTTGTTACTTTTTGCCAATTTCGAGTCGGACAACGGACAGGGATATGAGGTCAGAAATCCGTACTTTCATTTTCCCAACGGAAGTCCTTATATGGGGGTGAGTTCTTTCTTTTGGCAAAAATATGTAATTATTAATAATTTGTTCCCATATGGTTGTGATTTACCATTTCAAAATCTTTTATGAAACGTACTCCAAAGTTTAAGAGTTTTTAAATTAATAATTTCGAAAGGATAATTTGGAACAATAAAAAAAAGAAATTCATATTAGTCTCAGTTTAGGTTTTTCATTTGTTAAGTCTTTATGTATCTGCTAAAGGAAGAAAATCTGCTGTGTTTTATATTTTTTTATTTTTTTTTGCGAATCCTTTTTTTTAACACTTGGCATTTCTTTTATTTTTCTTGGTCTTTCTTAAATTTCTTCAAAACTATATATTATTCTACGTACTTACTACTCACATCCACTGCAAACTCTAAAGTTCGTAATACTTTTATTAGTCACTCAAAATAGAGCGTCAACAACATATTATACAACAAGTTTTATAAACGCCACTTTAGTCACTATGCTGTGTTTATTATTGCGAGAGAGTTATAAATTATTATTGATAGGCGTAGTATTGTGTCTATGATGATTGTAAAAGGCTCCGAGCGTGACCAATAGACGGACAGGTAGTTGACCTTAATACTTGTGCCTTGTTTAAAATTACAATTATAATTTCTTTCCCGTAGTGCTTGGCCCGTATTTCTGGCCAAGAAACGAATTAGTAAAACTGGAGTTGGACAGTCAACAATATACCGACTTTTGCACTAGGTTAAACGCGGCCCCATCAGGTCACAAACGAGAAGCACAGGAAAAAAAGAAGTTGAAATAAATAAAATAATTAAAACATAAAATAACTCTTAAAATGAAGAGCATTGCAACCCTCCTGCAAGAGGAATAAAGACATTGGATTGTAATAGACTAAGTTCGTCGAACTTGTGATTGAAGTAACTTCAGTAACCGTTAAGAAGAGGAAGAAACTCAGTTAGTAGGCTAAGAGTATTTTCAAATGGAACGCGTTGCACATTTTCAGATTAATCCATTTAGCATAAAAATGATTGAATTAAAAAAGTACATATTTTTTTAACACCTTAATCTCAGATTAAACGATTTAAAGATTACGTTTTTAGAATTTAAAAACTAGATCTGCTAATTTCACAATATTCAACCGCATAAAACATAAAAAAACGTTGATATATTATATCTTTAAGCGAAGTTATAACAGCGGTTGTAGCTGTATATTTTGAAGAAGTGAAAACTTGAATTGTATTTGGTGATAATCACTGCAATGTACATTTCGATCTAAACTGGAAATAAAATATGAGAACATAAAAAATATTCCACAAAAATTTTGCTCCAATCTCCCATCAGATTTCTTTCCTCTTTTATGGTGAAGTCGCTAGGAGAGAGTAATAGGATTTTTATTTTAATGTTTAAATTTTGGCAATATTCTAATTGCCAAACTATCGGGTGGTGTTTACGAAAACGCTTTCAGATACAGTACATAGCTTTTGTATTAACCTCATTTTTATCGTTATATGATATACACCTATATATCAAATAATTAACAAAACAAAACAAAAATTACGGATTTTATATTTCAATGTTTTCATGAAACTAACTTTATAGCTTAGCTGTTGTAAGTTTTTCCAAATTGTAATGAGAGCTACATTATTGAACTACTTTGTATATATAAACAATTTAACACTATATTTATATACAGTATTTGCAAAATCATAGCGAATATTTGTCTGTATTGCCAAATTGTTTAAATGTAATAACCGATTCGAATTTTGTTGGTAATGTAACTGTAATATTCTTTACTTTTAAATTTAAATTTAAATTAAACGTTTTTAGATTCTTACCGCCTTCGCCATTCCACTAAAACTACAAGCTCCAGGCGACATCTTTATTGCGGTTAATTTTGAGGCGTCTTACAACCTACCTCAGAACCAGACCTATTTTACTTGGCCTCCGATTGTAGGCAACGCAACAGCTCGCCAGGTTTTATACAGTTTTTTCGAGAAAAAACTGGAAAGGTATCAACAGTCCTTTTAAGCGTGTTTATTAATAAACTTAGGTTAGTGAGTCGTTATTGCGGCGGATTAGGTAGTATAACATTAAAGATCACCCTCGAACTCATGCTATATGCAAACTAACCAAAACTTGAGCCGCGAACACATTTTTGTCACCCACAAAAAATACGACAACATCAACGGAAAACAACTTTCAACATTGTAATGTCGTTGCTCTTCTTAACACTTTTGTTCACTTTTTCTTTATGCTAAGTGAAGTTCAATCATATTAACAATTACATCGTTCACATTTAACCTGATCTCTTCTGCGATTGCAGTATCGTCAATTCAAAAATAATTTGATGATAAATGATTCCTTTGTAGCTTTGGGTAAATCTTAAAAAAAAAAACACTTTGCAAATTCTCAAAAAAAGCTTTTATTAATAGGTGTCGATACTTCTTGATTACTGCTAAAATGAACAATCCCAAATACATGATTTTTATTGAACTACAATAATTTTTAGTCGAAAAAAACAATCGAATTATTTGTTTATAATTAATGATGACATTTTTTCCTTAATTACTTAAATAAAACAATTTTTGTTCTTCTAAAATTCAGATAAATCTTGGTATATTACAGAAAATTTTGTTCTTTAGGTAGCCCCATAAAGAGAAGTAAATTGTAGAGATATCTGGACTATTTGGGTGGTCTTCTTAATAATCAATATCTTCATATACCAATATCGCAAATTTTTCACAGACTGGACATTATATATATATATATATATATATATATATATATATATATATATATATATATATATATATATATATATATATATATATATACAATATACAAGGCGTTCCATAGAAATCATCAACCCGTCAAAATTAAATATATAGTAATGAAAAATGCTGCAGTCGTGTCGAACTAAATATGCATATAATAGAACAAAACGAAAAAAATAGTAATTTGTGTCCGTGGAGAAGGTATTCCTCGACTCCAGAGTGCAATGTTTCCAATGCAGTAGTGAGCCATGCCGCTGTTAGAGTAGAATTAGATATAAATTTTCCTTGTTCGGTTAAAGAAGTTTGTTTTATTTGTAAAGAATTAGAAAAAAGTTTGGCTTGGAATTTTATGAAAAGCTCATCGGATATGTTTTGCTGGTAACCTTATTACCATCATAACAGAACGGTTATAGACTCGCGTATTTTGAAATTCAGTGGAACAAAATCAAGTAATTATATTTTACTTCCAGTCATGGTTACCCAGGGAGGGCGTGTCTTCTAAGAGCAATTTGTGAAGGAACTGAATATTCGACCTACGGAACAGGGGTTCTAGGAGATATTATTCATATCATCTTAACGTAAGTAAGCCGGTCTAAATGTGAAACGGTTAAGATGCTAATTGTCCGTCGTTTCTAGTCCATCTTCATCTGTAAATGCTGAGTTATTGGAGGAATACGAGGAAGCGGAATTACAGGCAAGGAAAAAGGGAAAGTGCAAGAAATTTCACAAAACCTGTAAATTTAGTATATTGAACTTGTTTACTTGGGTCGGAACTATATTCGGACGAAACGGTTTAATAAAAACTCCAATTCTAAAATAACATAATTTTTATTTCACAAATGCTACAACCTTCGGACTTCGAGGTAATGGGTAATGGTAATGGTAAAGGGTTCTGATAACGCCGCAAAATCCTTAATACAATTCAATTGTTTGCTATATGGAATGGTAGGCTAATTTGGATGTTTCTAAAGGAGATCTCGATAACTATAAGAACTATAGAAGAATGGATGGTACTCTCGATCGTTTGTTTTCTTTTGAGAGGGACTAAACAAACATGCTCTGGTTCACTAATGTAGTTTGTCTTGAAGCCTTAATATTCACGTTCAATTTTTTACGATTTGAATTAATGTCTATATTTTTCTTATTATTATTAGTTACAAAAGATGTATTTACACGTTATTTACGTACTTCTTTGATTAAAATGGAATCATCTTAACAGATGATGAATATCTTCTTTCGTTTTTTTTTTAAAGCCTCATAGTTGGGTATAAACTAATTCAATAGAGTGTCTTTCTATTTTTTTAACGATACTCACATTTACAGTAGCAGTACTCATTGCAAAACAATAAAAAATTACTTCCAGTGTGTCTCGATCTTTAAAAGGATTTTGATACAGCTGATAATAAAATGATCTTGGAAATCTTCGAGGATTCTAGCATCCGCGGAATACCTTTTAAAGTTAAAAAAGTTAAAAGTTAGCATGCGGGAAGAACACAGAAAATAAAAATTATTATTACTTATAGTTATAAAAAAGGGATGTGTTTTAGGACCAACATTATTCATTCTTTACATAAATACAATCTTTGGTATTGCGGATGACCGAGTCTTCTTATATGAAGATGATTCTTGGGATAATCTTAAAATTAAAGTGGAAAATATATTTAGTAATCACTCGAGCTGGTTTAAACTAATGTCGCTTACGGTGAATGAAGAAAAAACGGTTTTTATGCTATTTTCTTGCAATAAAAGAGGTTTACCGAAGTTTAACACTTTACATACACAAACAATAAACCCCAATGAACACTATTCAATAAAGTCGACAGATAAAATAAAATATTTGGGAATAATAAAGGATACAAAATTTAAATGAAATAAACACAAACAGTAAACAACCTAAAGCCACTGATTTTCAAATTCAAATATTTTTAAATAGTATATTATGCAACAAACGGCATTTGACTCACGTGTTTATTTGACACGAGCGGAGCGAGTGTTGAATAAACTCGTGAGTTAAAAAGTTTATCGAACGTGTTGCATATATAATTTTTCTACGACCGTTAGTTTTTGGGTACATTTTCGCAAAACGACAAGAATATATTCACTGACATGAGCGTCAGAATTGATAAACGTCAAACTTCAAAGCGTAGCAAATATCTTCGAAAACATCCAATTGTTCGCAAACTCGTGCGGTAAAATCCCGGAAATGTCCGAAGTGGCTCGGATCCGTGGGAAACGTGGAAAAGTCACGCTTCCCGCACGCTAGATCGGTGTGTAATTAGGTAGTTTACCGACGGGAGTAGAAAAATATTTTGAATATACACCAAATGTTTAACACTTTAGTGTGTATTTTGGGTCCCGAATATACATCTTAAAAAATCGTCTTTCAAATAACAAGTGAAGCAACGGTTAAATTCATGATAATAATTAAACACAGAACTTAAACAATTTGCTATTGAAGGGGTACAAATATCAAAAAAATAAAATTACATCTCACAGGTTCGAATACTCGCTAACTGCGATCTTCTCGTCCAGCACCCTCTTATTGCATTAATTTATTACTCTGTGGCTCACTCTTGCGGGGTCGTACGTATCCACTTGTCGGATTCTGGTCGACGGGTAATTCGTTTATGGGCGGATAGATGGTGGTGAGGGTATTTTAATCTTCTCTAGAGCTCTTTCGGAAATCGAAATGTTTAGCGGTAAGGCAGTTAGTTATTTTGTGAAACAACGGTTATAAACATGTTCGAAAACAAAATCAAACTACAAAATATAAATCATGCCTACAATACAACAAATAGAGAAAAGGGAAATTTTATAACAAGTAAGTGTAAAAAACAAATAGGCCAAATATCACACACGTTTTACTGACCCATTTTTATAATATCTCAGATGAAGATTTAAGACATAGACTTATAATCTCAACATCATTCATAGGCTTTTAAAAAACATCTCAAAAGTTTTCTCTGAGCCTCGAACCAATAAATAACATAATAAATATAATTGCATAAAGATAAAATAGTGAACGAATTATTAAAAATAAATATAAGAGCAAGCAGCAAAAAAAAGAATATCAAAAATTAAACGTCTAAGATTGATATGTATGACGTTGATGTTATATAAATTATGTAGAAATTCCTGGAAACATTTTACAAAATTTTTATTCGATGAACGTCAGTAGACGGAATAAACATATATTATCATTATTTTTTTAAACCAGACTATTCTTCTAGTACATGTACATGTACATATAAAATAGTGTGTAAGAAAGCCTATCAAAGCCAGTAAAATAACATTTTTGAGTTATAAAGTGATAAATGGGATATTGAAGCAACACTTAAATCCGGGAGCATAATTAAACACCGAACGAACTTAAACAATTTTCTATTGGCACTTTATTTTGGTAATGTGTGATCGAAGGCTGTGAAGGTGTTCATTTGTTACAATATTTCCAAATATGATATTAAAAATATTAAATATTCATCCAGTACTCGAGGTGTGCTTTGCAGCTAGTGAATGTAGAATTTTAAGGACGGTGGTTTTATCAAAGGTCCCTCTTATCTTACATCTTAGCTACTTATCGGTAAGCACCTCATTTCTGATGTACCGTTCGTATAATCATTTCAAAGATCTCATGGAAAATTATGAGAGCCTTATTGAGGGATAGACTGGGGGGGTGGAGTAATCCAGCTTCCCTTCCATTTGAAAAAAAAACAGCCAGACCTCCGATATACCTCACAGCCCCCACCATGTGCAGCATGAGTCTATCTAGTCTTGCATTCAAGTAAGATAGTACATATGTTGCATGTCTCTTACGACTCAATAAGTCACGCCATTTAAATATATTACCCGAGCAAATAGCACAATGCAAACCCAATTTGTTAATGATGGTAATTTATACGTCACGGTATTCGCTTGATTACAATATTATCAAATACAAGCTGCGCTACTCAAAAAGTTAATCGTCAGTCGATGATTGTAAACAAAATAGGTTCGTGCTCGTCCATTCGATTCGATAGATCGAAAATTATGAAAGACATTTTAGTTACCGTAGAGCAAGGGAAGTTAAGAGGAACCACGGGCAGTGACTATTACGGCAATGTATATTACAAATTTTTGGGAATTCCCTATGCCAAAGCGCCTGTCGGAGATTTGAGATTCAAGGTAAGTGAATGGCATGTTAGTTTTTCCTATAATGTTTGAAAATAAAAGCGTATTGAAACGATGGCGTAACTATCGCATTATAAGTTACTAAAATAAAAGAACAAAAAAAAACAATAATTTTTAATATTTTCCAAAAAACTTCCACAGGCTACTATAATTCTATTTACAAACTATCAGCTTCAGTTACATTTAATCCCATAAATTTGACTCCATGTACTGGGTGTTTCAAATTCCACTCATCAAATTAGGAACACGGAAGCGGTAAGAGATACAGAGTAGCTCATTTGCTTATAAAATTAGAATTATCTTCGCTACAAAAATGGTGAAAAATTGAAATTTCCGTTTGTCAATTTTATCTTTTTACCATTTTAAAATTTAGAAAAATCAAAAAATAAGTTCTCATTGAAATTGCATGAGCTTCAGCTTTTGATAGCTGATATATTGTATATTTTTTCTAAAAATCAAAATGAACTGGTAAAAAAATATAATCAAAAACCAAAGTTTTGGTTTTTCTGTCATGTTTTCGGAATATTATCGGGCTCATGGCTAGGCAGATTTACCACAATTTGAGTTAGCTGTATCTCTTACCATTTCCCATACCTCAATGTTAATTTGATGCCCCTCGAAAACCTGTATTAATTGCAGCTTTCTTCATGGCGACATTTTCTATAATTTCGAACTAAAAAATTATACACCGATCTAGCGTGCGGAAAGCATCACTGTCTTCTCCCACGGATCCGAACCAGTTCGGACATTTTCGGGATATTACCGCACGGGTTTGGGAGCAATCGAATCTTTTCGGAGATTTGAACGCACGGCTTGAATTTTGACGTTTATTAATTCTGACTTTCATGTCAGTGAATGTATTCGTGTTGTTTTGCAAAAATGTACCCAAAAACTAACGGTTGTAGAAAAAGTATAGTACGCAACACGTTTGGCAAACTTTTTAAGTCACTCGTTTATTAAACACTCGCTCCGCTGTGCCCCGCTCGTACCAAATAAACTCGTGACTAATTAGTCATAATAGTTAATATATATATAATAGTTAATATATATTAGAATTGTCAGAAATTTTCTGCTTCAAAAATTTAAAAAAATGAAATTTTGAAATTGTGAATAATGAAAATATTAATAAAAAACCGCAAAACATACGAAATTTAAAAACATATTTTTGATACTATATTTCCCAGAGTTTCCGCACATAACAGAATATACATCCGTTTAGTTTCTGTTTTGAAATTACACTAGGAAATATGGAAGTCCAAAGTTAAAATATTCACCAATCAACATATGCATACACAATTAAAACGAATTTCATGAAAATTACTCATCTAATGCATAGTTCCAATTCGATCCGATGGGATTTTAATCACTAAACCATAATAACTTTACCGAAGGTCAGATAAGCGGTGTCACAAAAAAAACGCACTTCAAATAACATGTATGATAAATTGTAGGAAACATTCGATTGTCGATGTGTATTTATTGAAAAATATTGTGCCTTCTGTATAATTGCTGTGTTTTCACGATTTAAAAAATCCTTATTAATATTCAGCTGGGGAAAAATTACACTCGCGAAGTGAATATTTTTTGATATATACGTTTATACGTTTTCACAGAAGCGTGCGAAGATCCGTAGCTCTCTAAGAATTTTGTTCAGAAAATTTATTTTGGCGGACTACAATAAAACGTCTTAAAGGGGATGTTAACTTTTTTGCAAATTGTGAATTTTGTACAGTGTGCAAAGTTATGTTGAAAAAATGACTATTTTTTCTCACCCCTTTTACGACGTAACGTAGAATAAGAAAAGAAAACAACTTTGTTTATAGTCGCTATTGTATTCAATTTCTCTAGATAATTACGAAAAACCATTTACTTCGTTTTCGACTACAAATGTTTAGTAAAATATCTAAGCGGTTCTGGTAAAAAAAGGTACTTGACATGACAATGTTATTAATTATTTGCAAAATTTTGTGATATGACATGACATATTGTGTTTACTACTATTTTTTAACAAAAATTATTTATAATGGATGATGAATTACGATTTACATTCACTGGGAATGCTTGCAAAATTGTCGAAATTGTCGAGTATATGGTGAGGTGTCTTCAATAAAATTTAACTGCTCAAGAACTCTATTAATCAATATTAGATCTGACTTGCTTTCATCAGAATTGCTTTTTTAAAAATTTAAAGTTATTAAAAGCTATATTAATCACAAAAATTTATTGCATGTTTTTTCTAACCCTGCCTAGCTAAGAAAACATTTTTATTTTTAATTGCGATTGCAGTCCAATTCGGTTTTCTTAGATATTAATAAAAAAACATTAATTTTACTTTCCAAAGCAAATGTTTAACAAAATACCTAAAAGTTACTCGTTGACATGCCGATTGTATTAAAAATTGGCAAAACTTTTTGATCCTTCTTGATATATTGTGCCTATCTTTCTAACAAAAATTATTTATAATGGATGATGAATAATAATTTATACCTTTATACTTAAACAATTGTCTTTTAGAATCGTGAGTAACAGGTGAGAGATTTCCTGAAAGAATGTGAACGGGCGCTTGAATATTTCAAAGAGTTCACTGCAGAAATTTATTGACTAAGAACAACAAAAATAGAAGCCTAAACTTCATAATAAATCAATTATACGAATTTAAGGTTATTACAACCTTTGCTGAAAACTCACACAGAAGTATAGTAGTAGTAGTATATTTGACAATTATTTATTTGGCAACATTTTTAAAATTTTAAACTCCAACTAATAATGTAGCCGAATAAGTAATTGTAAAATATTATATTGCTTGGGCAATAATATCAAAATTTTCTCTACTTTAGAATGTTAACGTAACAATTTAAACTCACTTTAGACACCTTGAAAAAGGAAATAAACGTTTCCGAAAGCTCAACGTATAAGAAAAGAGTTCGATCAACCTACCTAAAGTCTGTTCATAGATATAAGAAAGTGACTAACTGATACGAATTAAGGAAAGACCCGGGCATGCTGTAAGAATGAAATATGGCCGAACAGGTCCGTACTTTGCTTAGAATTTAATTATTTGGGGTTTTGTTGGGAAAGATACTAAACAATATTTATTTATTTATGTATGTATTTATGTTTAAATCTAAAATAAAATTACAAATTATTTTTATTACCTACTTAAATTACTTAAAATTATTCACATAATATATCAGTATCACTATCACTATCATCGCCTGTTCTAATTATTATTTGGTCTATATTATTTGCAATATATACAATTGTTCTTCTTTTTCTATATGTTTAACAGAATTTGCCCAACTTTGTGGAGAGATGTTAAAAACTTCGGTTTCTATAAGTTTGAGGACATTGGAGTTAACACGGGGAAAACATTGTTACGACGAATGGCAGATGTCATTTGGTGCCAAACATGTTCAATGGGATTAAATATACAGTGGTAAAGTGGAAGCCTTAAAACTGTATACCCTAGATTTTTTGCATAATTATCACAGACGTATTCCTTTTGTATGTTCAAGCTTTGTAGAACCTCAATTAATTGCTTTTGGTATAATCTTCGTGAAAATAAATGTCGTTATTATACATGTAGGTTTGGATTGTTGCTTTTGTGTCACATGAGGAACGGGTTTTAGTCAACTGCCTACTGTAATAACTTGCAATGTTCATTACAATGACTCTATTAAGAGGAATGTTTGGAACTAGTTTGTTTTTAAACCAACTTTCAAATAAATCCAACCACCTTTAGAGCCAGCATGCAAAATAGTTATTCTTTTACCTCTTTTTGATGGCGCGTTTGTTTTACACTTATCAGTTGAGTCAACCCAACCCTTTTCCGGGGTATCATAAATGTCGAACCAGGTTTCATCCAAGTAAATAATTGGCCTTTGTTGTTCTCTGTAAATCCTAATTTTTTCTAGATATTCCCGTCGCCATTTCCGAATTCTAAAAGATTCCATTAAAACTTGCCTTTTGTCATTTTTTTTTTAATCTAAAACCCATGTGTTGAATACACTTCCATAAAGTAATTCTGCCACATTTAACACCGGTTTCGTCTTTTTTAAGCCTTCTAATTAAGATATCTAATGTAGCCACGCTTTGTTCCTCGTATAACTGGTAAATTTTACGCCGTATTATATCTTGATCACTTTCATCTACGCTCGAGAAAATGTTAGCATCGCTTCTTTTTTTCCTCGCTGAAATGGGATTATTCATAATTTTCCATACAGTTGACGTTGGAATTTTTGTCAATGTGGCCGTTTCTTCTAAAGATGCTTGCTTGCTGGCACCACGTTCAATGAGAGTCAAATAAACATTATTTATAACTTCATTAGTCTCAATATTTTCTACATTTTGCACATCACATATTTTGCATAATTCGCACACGATTCAACACACGCTGTATTGCACACGAAATAAGAATGATTACTAATAAACTTAAACTAAGTAGTATACCAAACCAAAGAATATTAAACACAGGTAGGTGTAAAATTAGTTAGTAGAAACTTTAGGTAATAATCTTGTTGCATTGTATGTTAATGACCACCCTTGGATAATCACATTCAAAAGCAATTGGTCACTTTCTTATATCTATGAACAGACCATACCTGACGACATTCCCAAGAGAGTTTCTGTTTTGGTGTTTAACTTAATTGTCGCGATTAACACTTTTCTCCTATTTACATTTTTAAAATTGTTTATTGAAGTAAAATATTTTGAAATAATAAAGTGCACTAAAACAAATTGAAATATGTCAAAAAATACGTGATGTTGCATGGATGCTGATATTTTACTCTAGGAACGCTTAAGACGCTTGTCCAACTGGTGACGTCTTGAGTAAATAATTCAATTTTAATTAAAATATGCACATTTCTGATTTGTTAAGACCCAACACCTATGATAATTTGCGTAGTCCTGCTGTATTGTAATAAACACCAAGTCAGTAGTTCTTGTAGTTCTGTGGTTAATTTTTCAAAGAAACTGCCACAGCCCACTGTAATACTATTTACAAATCTTCTGGATTCCTCCTGCGCCGATTATTGATGTATGGAACTGGTTTACCTTTCGTCAATCATCCTGTTGGCTTATTCAGAGCTTTACTGAAACTAGTTGACTGACTTACTGACAGAAGATTTGTAAATAGTGCTGTAGTTCTCAGTAATATATATATATATATATATATATATATATATATATATATATATATATATATATATATATATATATATATATATATATATATATATATATATATATATATATATATATATATATATATATATATATATATAATATTTTGTATTGAATTTTAGGCACCTCGACCTCCTGTAGCTTGGGAAGGCATAAAAAATGCATACAAGGATGGCCCGGCATGTCCACAGCAAGACATTGCCACGAGGCTCTTCGTAGGTCGTGAAGATAATTGCCTGCACTTAAATGTGTTTTCTAGGCAGGTAAATGAATCTTTTGCAGTGGTATTCTAGATATTTGAATTTAATGTAATGTAGCTACCAGCTTATGGTGAGCTACCAAAAAAGCCGGTCATGGTATTCATTCACGGAGGAGCATTTATGAACGGATATAACAAAAGCGAGATATACGGCGCGGATTATTTTATGACGCAAGATGTGGTACTTGTTTCCATTAACTACAGACTCTCTATATTTGGTAGGTAAATCTCAGATAACCAAATACACGAAGCTGAATGACTTTCTGATAATAATTTTCGAACCCTTTATCATAAAAGGTGCACCATTTTCTTTCACTTGTTTTGATAAAAAAGATGCTTATTTCGATTGCACTGAAGATTGTGATGATGTTTGAGGGCTTTGAAATAAGTGGTTAATAAATTTATTTTGGCCACAGTAGGTCATTTCTGAGGACCACCTAGTCCTCCTTATTGCCCAGAAACGGTTTAATAGTAATAATTATGATTTTATGTATATTTTACGTCAATTAATTCGAAAACTGATACCTCGAAGATCGAATTCCCTGTTCCCTATCGTCCACAAGTAAACACAAGGAAACTTAAGTAAACATGCACACAATAAAAAATATCTCATAAATGTGTTTCTAGAATTTTACAAATCCTTATTGCTGAAACAAACTGCAAATTTCATTTAAACTGTAATGCTAAGGTTCAAAGAATTGGGGAACTATTTTTCATTAAATTAATGAAAGACTTTCCATCAAGACGGTGCTTAATGTCTAAATTGGTTAAGAATTACAAGAAATATTAGTTATTTCAAAGTGGGACCCTGTAGAAAAAATGTGACATTGTCCGCATAAATAAATATAATAAATAAAATAAATAAATAAATGTAGAAATATGAGAACAATTTTTTTAAATTTCATTTTTTCTGAACTACGATAAGTGCCCGTCGGAACTTGGCCCACTCGGCTTCTGTACTCTCCGCACCAGAATACTTATCAGCACTACAGACTGTGGTGTTTAAAGTGTATGGATTAGGTATAAGGGTGGTTTGTTTATGGTGGTCGATTCGTCGTTGTACCGGATGGTCAATTAAGAAGAGCACTCGCACTCTACCTTAACTAGATTAGAAGTAAAGAAAATTATTACTAAAGTAGTCAAGCGAAAATGCGGGAAATTAGTTGGATGTTACGTTGTAGATAGTTCAACTGGGCACCGTTTTTAAGCTGGGATAAATTCAATTCTTTATCCTTAAATTGTTTTTGTTCAACCTCTAAACTGGAAGTGGTGGGGGCGTCCGAACTCATTTTATCAAACTTAGAATTATTGAAACGGGATTGCTTGTGTTATACAAGAGGACATTAGCTCCCTACAAATGAAATTTCCACCCTCTCTTTTCTAACCTATAATATCGTAGAAGTATTTTTTAAAATATCGCCAAATTCAGCATTGATTAAGTTGAAATTAGAAATATTAGATATTTGTAATTAAAATGCTAAAATATTTTCAGGATTTTCGTGCTTTGAAGATGAGTCTCTAGATATACCAGGAAATGCTGGTTTAAAAGACATGAGACAAGCTTTGCGGTGGGTTCAGAAAAATATTGAAAATTTCGGTGGAGACCCAGAAAATGTGACAATTTTTGGTGAAAGCGCTGGCAGTTCGGCGGTACATTTTCTGACCCTTTCACCAACTACAAAAGGTCTATTCCACAAAGCTATAATGCAAAGCGGTAGCGCAATTTGTCCGTGGACCATGGGAAAACCAAATGCCCAGATTATTGCTGAGCTGATCGGTTACAAGGAAACTTCAGAGAAGAAGATACTGGAAAAACTAAATCGAGAAAGCTGCCGCAGCATTTTGAAAGCTTATACAAAATTTTATGACGTAAGTTCGTTATTTTATTAGCCAATAATTTTTTCGAAAACAAAGATACATGACGGCACGCTCTGTGTCAATTTATTATTATTATCAATTTCTCGGTGAGTTGTAATCCATGACCTGTTGAAATTTGTTAATATGGTTATTAACACATTTTGTCATCACTATTTCATTATCTATATCTGCTAATCTGAGCTATCGCTATTTCATTATAAAAACCTTCTTTATTTAATTCGAGGCGGCAAAAAGTAAAATGTCACAATTTGGTTCTGATGGCGATGCACCAAATTATTTACAGAAAATTTTCCTCATGTGAATATATCAACCACTGCTCGGCAAGCAGTTCTAACATGTAAGTGAAGAATTTTAAAAAAGTTTTTATATTTTGTTTCCTTTTGTTTCATTTATGATTTGTCACTTTTTATATATTTCCATATTTCCACATTTTTTTGGGCAGGTATTTTATCCAGCAGTTGTGCGTCCGTTCACTCCTGTAATTGAGAAACCATCGGATGACGCCTTTTTAACGGAACATCCTTTCGAAATAATGAGCTCCGGAAGAATGCATCAGATTCCAATGATCATAGGTTACAATAGTAATGAAGGAGTAGTTTTCGAGTTGTTTAGGGGGTCAAATCCGACACTGACGCCACCTAAGAACTTTGAAATGCAAATACCACACCACCTACATTTGAAAGCGGGCAGTGAGAAGTCCATACAAGTCGCTAGTGAGATACAAGGATATTATTTTGGGGACGAAGACAGTAGTGAAGAAAATATTCAAAGAACTTACGAGGTATGTCCAAGGTTTAGTTTTGGTTAGTTAGTTTGGTTTTGATTATTTAAACCAAGACCTAAGTAGACAAACGCCGCAAAAATTGGCATATACCTTGCTATATAACAACTTTTAATATAACTCTCTTATTTTAAAAATAACTGGCAACCTTTAATATGACGCTTATGTACATAGAAAAGGCACCAGTTCATAAAACAATTGTATCCAATAGATGTTATATAATGATCGTCCATGATAATTACATAACAATATTTACCATTTTAGAAAAACGTTACATAAAGTTTTTTAATAAATTAAATCTCTGTGTTCTTTGACAACACTATAAAAAAAATTTTTATTTTGTAAGAATCAAGAACCAAATTATTTTTGTTTTGATTTGTTAAATACTAAATTATTTGGTTCATGGTTCATGGTTTACAGGCTTTCGCTTAAAATGGATAGGTATATAATACAATATTATACTTCGTGCACCATTACGGCTCCGATTATTAAATACTCTTACTCAACTTTACTGACTTTATACATATACATTTGTAGATTAAATTTTAAAGAAAAAAATATTTATTATTTTTGAAAATATTTGTTTCTAATAAAATTAAAAAACATTGCGCTACGTTCTGTTACAATCTGAAGCCAAATCCGGGGTTACAATCAAAACTTTTAAACTATATTGAAACTTTATTGATATTAATGTGATTATTTGTATTTATTACAATGACAAATATGAAGTTCATTTCAATTTGAACAATGGAAAACATAGCGATATGAATTAAATCATTTTTATCCCTTACGACATATATATAAGATTAAACTGAATTTGAAATTAATTTTATAACACAATTCTGATATATAACAAAGTTGTGGTTGAAGATTAAGAATTTTGTCATTCAAAATACTAAAACGCTCTCATGCAAAATGACTAATATTAGAGGAATTTACTGCTTTCGGACAGCTCTGTGGTATCTTATTCGTCACTTCAATCTCTATTTATCGTAAGTTCCAAGCTCTAGTTTGCTTTTAGAAGAACTAGAATGTACATTTTGATGTTCTAAATCTGTGATAATAGATTCCACTTATTTGATTTACAGTATCTTGAGATAAATTTAAAATACGTTGATGAAGAAAAATTATAAAATCTTGTTATAAAGTTCTTACAAAAAATAAAATTTTGTTTTTATTATGATAAATATGATTAAAAATGTTTTATTAATCAGTCTCATTTACAACTACAAGGCACTTTAGTATATCAGTTTCTCAAGCATATTGATGACCTTGGCGAGCTTTATTTGACTATTTGCTCTTAAAGGAAGTAACAATAAAGCAAATATATAACTATTTAGTCGAATAACAAAATTTGTGTGCTATTTGGGGAATCTGACTAGAATTAGAAATAGCCCACATCCATATTATCTAAATGCCATAATGCTACAATAGCTTGCTTAATAGTAATAATTTATATTAAAAGCATGCGCAACGTAGCAAACTCGGCCTGATAGATAAATTTTACAATACGAAAATACCGCTAATCTAATCGAGATTCTTGTCTTTCTCTTGCTCACTTCTATAAATGGAGAATAAGGTGTTCTCTTGGTTAAATTACTTTACTTATCACTGTAATTCTTAATAAAATCAATTACATATTATTATTTGGTGATCAAACAACATTTTCTTTAACTATTTGTAAAAAATAAAATATATCGTATTAAAACTTTTTAAAAAACCCTCCGAAAAAAACGTGTACAAATTTTAAATCAATTTTTAAATAATGACTCTTAAATCTTAAATCTTTTTTAACGGTTTAAACAAATTTCTTAGTCACACAATAGCCTAATATATTTTTCAGAAGTATTATTTCAAAAAAATCTTTTTTAACGGTTTAAACAAATTTCTTAGTCACACAATAGCCTAATATATTTTTCAGAAGTATTATTTCAAAACCAACTTAAAATACTAAATATGTACAGAGTGATCAGTTAAGCATGACAAGGCAATATCTTGAGAGATTTGTCGTACAGTTTTGGGAAAAAAATGGAATAAAAACAAGATAAATGGCTGAAAATTACATTTAAATTCCTGAAACAGGTGCTAAATAGAAAATCAAAATTTCCATCAGTTATTGTTAAAATATCTTTGGAATAGCAATAACTCCGGGTTTTAATGAAATTTAACAAATGTTGATGATTTGTGCTCTTTAATATGTCTTTCAGATTTCTGACGTTCTCGCTACTCGGTGTTTTTCGAAGAAATCACAAAGTTTACGTTTTTCCTCAAATATTTAAATGAAACATATACTTTTTGTACGGTTAAAAAGAGGAAAAAGTATTTTTTCTAGCCGAAGATAGTTACGAGTTTTCGTGTCGCATTACTTCACATTTTATCCAGGCTCAGAACTGGACAGTACTTAGTTTTTTAATTTTCGAAACCTAGCAGCAGAATTTATAGGAAATGGCTAATAAATGGGTATTGATTGTAGCCACCAATTTTTATACTTTTTTTCGATATTTGTGGTTTTGATTTATAACAGGAGTTATTCCCTACTTTATAATTATGAATATTTACAAATATGTTTGACATTTTCTCTTTATCTATTCATCTTTTAATGAATACATTTTGATTATTTTTTTGTCCTAACACCTCCACGTACTAATTTCATAGTCACAGAATTTTGTCGTAAGAAAAAAAACTCAAAACATTGTTTTTTGACCTTAATTGCAGTATTATATTTTGATTTTGCTTAACTATAAACACACACACACACACATATATATTGTATAACTATCAACATATTTTGTTCTTATAGTTACGTTCTTTTCTTTTCTTAAAAAAAACGAAGAACGTTATGCGGTTTTCCCGTTACAGACGGCGATAGACAAATACCTAATTTTAACGTTCAAATTTAAAAGAGGTAACTCCCTTAATATTAATTTTGGATAAAAGTAAATATAGCTAAATCAAATTATTTTCATAAAAAAAAAAAACAGTAAATTATGGTCCATTCTTTTTCAGGTACTCTGCATTATCGTCCATTGTCTGTAACCGGCTTGAATTGAATTCTCTGAAATAATGCTAAGAACATTTTCACTAAAAATGCGTTTTTCGGCCTTTATCTTTATAAAGCTCCTTTTGTAGATAACGGGAGATTCTTTGTTCCTGAACGGCGTTCGCAAGACGATGCGGCTAGAATGTGAACACTCCACGCAACCAATATATGCATACAGGATGGATTTAGATTCCAAACTAAATTATTTTAAGCACCTCTGCGTGACGCCGTACAAAGTAATATTTTTGATCGTGCTGGGTTTGATTAAAATATTTTATTTTCTAACGCCACTCCGAAATGTTTTGGCTAAATTGCTGACAGAGTTGCCGAAAAGAAATATTAATGGTGCCTCCCACGCAGACGATTTGTTTTATCTATTTAACGCGTTCTTCGCTGTGCCAATAGCCAAGGGTTCGCAGGAAGATATTTACGTTCAACGATTTTTGAAATTGTGGACAAATTTTGCGAGAACTGGAAACCCCACACCGGACGTTGAACCGATTTTGTGCTGCACCAAGTGGACTCCGATCAAACCGAACGAAATTCGAATGCTCCATATTGGCACAGAATTAAACATGATTTCGGATGTTGACGCAGGGAGATTGAAATTTTGGAACAAATTGTACGATTTATATTATAAAGTGTAATCAATAAAATTTTCAAAGTTCTGAGCGTTTGAAATTGAACAAAATTAGCGATAAAGTATCCCGTCACCCTAAATCACCCCAAGGGTTAAAACCCAGTGTTTTTAATTTTCTTTTAAAAACTGTAAAACGAAACATTTTAGGAATAATTGAATTCCTGTTGAATGATTAATGAATTGATTTATTTATGGTTGATAAACGTTAATACTAGTTACTTTTGGAATATTTTTCTTATTGCAAATATGATATTAAAAATATTTGTTATGATGTATGGAATTATTGTTACGATCTAATTATATATTTTATGTTGATTACTATTTAATTAATCGTTTGATAATCGAAAAATGCTACTAACTAGATATTAGAATAAATGGTTTTTAACAAAGTAAAATAAAAATTCATAACGTGCAACCTCGTCCTTAGTTTAAATAAGAGTTTGTACTATATTAGGCATTGTACCAAACCAGAATTCAAGGGTGAAACTACCCCGTATTTATTTTATTTTGCGGAAAAATACGCTGAGGATCATTTCTTAGGCGTTTCATTTTGTGTCAAAGTGATTCAAAATATCACTGACCACATATCAAAAGTTCTAAATAAGTATAACATCAAAACCAGATTTGCCGCTTGTCCAAAAATCTCTCAACATCCTCGATCCGTCAAAGACAAAATTCCATTTGAGATGGCAGGAGTTTACAGCATTCCATACATATGCGGTAAAGAATACATCGGAGACCGGACATAAAATTTTATTCGATAAAACTAAAATTCTTGCATGTAATCAGTTCTTCTACCAACGAAAAATCCGAGCGTCTATAGAAATCTATAAACAACCTAACAATGTTAACCACGACTCAGGTGTCTACCTGTCACCAATATGGCAATCAGTCGTCCGAGACGGTGTTTATGTCCCTCATTTAGCTCCGCCCCCCCTCAAACAATATATAAGCAGATATAGAGTAAAATACGAGCCAGTTTCAGTCAACCTCTGAAGAAGCCAACAGGACGATTGGCGAAACGTCAGCAAGTTCGACTCAGCAAAAACCGACGCAGGAGGAATCCAGAAGTTTTGTAAAAAGTATTATAGTAGCCTGTGGAAGTTTCCTTGAAAAAAAAATCGCTTTATAGTGTTCTTAACATATGATGATGATAATAACCAACGAATACAGATTCAAATTTCAGATTCTTGTAGATTATGGACAACTACCACTGTACTTCTTCTTTTATTTTTTGCATTTTGTTATTCTTCATCCCTCCTTAAATCGCTTATTTATATTATGTTAAATTGTTTGTGTAATTTAGTGTCTTTAAATAATAAATATATAAGTATATAATTAAAACCTAATAATATTGTTTCCGAACTTCGACAATGTAACTATTTAACTAAAAACAATTTCAAAGAACCACCTGGCGTAATTATAGATGTCCCCTTCAGGCGTCACATAAACCCGTGCTTTCAAAATGGCGCAGGCCTTGTAATACTGTAAAACATCAAATTCCGCCGACTAAAGTTCAAATAACATATCATCTATTAAAATCATATCTCCGAGAAAGAACCCATCTAAAAATCGGTGAGAGTAGCAGGATGCCCAGATCGATAGAGTTTGGGGTTCCGCGGATCACAGTGCCTGTTCCAGTTGCCGGAAGTTGGATGTGTTTTGCGGATGACACTGTCGTAGTAGTAAGCGGAAAGTCCTGGTATGATACTGTTTCCAAAAAAGAAAGGTGTATGAAGCCCGTTAAGGCTTGGTTTGCAACTGTTCAACCCCAACTGTGGAGAATTTAGTCCAGTTTGTTTCTCACTTTCTAAAGAAATATCCGTGCAAAATCAACAAATCAGAAAGGGAGTAAAATATATTTGATAAATATTTTAATGCAAAAAAATACATCAGCGGTTGTTCAGTTATCTAGTATTGGTTTTCTAAATAAAATAATATGAAAGTTGCATCAAAATGTAGAAACATACACAAGGAAATATCTAATACTCAATGTAATTTTAAATGAAAAGCGCCAACTGTTTGGACGTTAAAATAACTTACATGTTGTATACAAATCTAGCAATTATTCTGATAACTAAATTATCTAACAATTTCTCCCTTGTTTTTTGTAATATTTATATAGGATGAATCTGATTTTTCATTTTTTATTTGGAAAGTCCATTCAAACATTATACTCTAAATTATTTCGTTCCCTAGGTTCTGAATCGCAATTTTATTTAGTATATTTTCAAAATAAGCCTTAGTTTTACTCTTCACGTTATGAATAGTTGCTACAGACTAGACGTTTTTCAAAATAATTTAAAAACAGTCTTAAATTAACGGGAAAAACAAAAAAGAAGTTTGTACATTCTAATGATTATTTTTGTTAATTGACTTTATCAATAAAAAATAGTCAAAAACGAATTTCATTTAAGAAATGCCATTTCATTTTTTTGAGCAAAAATTCCTTACAAACGTCACTAGCAAAACTTTTTTCAAATAACACAATCCTCTTAGCTTGAAGGTCCTGGGCTGTATAATTGATCTATGTTTTAAAATATTTATATCGCGATTAACAATTAGCATGTTATAGAAACCATTTTGCCAGAATAATTATTACAACATTTAACAATAACTGTTGTTAAAATTCCTGTCCAAGTTGGGTGCAAATCTAACCTTTAGGTGTCCAATTGAAGCAAACAAGGACAGATATGATATATTTATTTATTTATTGGTTTATAATGATGAAATACAATAAACAAATATTTTACAGGGTTATATGAAAATAGGCGCTAAATGATGATGCAACCGCAATAATTAATTTCGATTTTTATAGAACTTTATTTAAATTTTTGATTGAATATTGGAATTTCTATCGATGAAGTTATTATCATATGCGAACAATAAACACTCCAATTACATGACTCCAATTACTTTATAATTTCGCAATACCTATATAAATTTTTTATTATATTATATTTGCCCTTCACGGCGTCTCATAACTAATGATGCCGAATAAAGTAAAAGTAAATTCATAGCAAATAAATACTTTAACTATAAAATTTAAAAGATTGAAGTGCACATATAATCTAATCTCGTGGTTATTATAAGAGCTCAAATTAGATAAAATTTCATATATTATAATTAAAGTTAAAGCTATCTTCGTTCGGAACACATTTATATGAAACGAAACGATTTTTAAATGTCAGGTTACTGAGATAAAAAAGTATCATATCGGAAATGACATATGGTGAGGCCAGACGGTGTAGTTACAGTTATTGTTTTCTTTTTGTAACTGCCGATCAAATGGATTGAGCTAATTTGCGATTAAATTTGCCATAAATTTTTACTGTTTTTTTTTTTTCGCTTCTCGCGCCACATATATTTTCTTAACTAACAAGCAGAAATGGAAAGAGTAAAAGATCTGTACCACCTAAAATTACCAGCAGATTTTAATGGAACTTTTAGAGAACATTTTATCTAATTTTATCTTCTACAAGCTGTCGCTTGTCCCGTACTTCTGCGACAATCCAATCTGTTCACCTGCCAATACCTTCATTCCCCCATAATCATAATGGCCTCTTACACGGATTGGAGTGTCATTTCGTACCTTTAGCCTGTCACCCCACACTTAATCAATCGATTAATTGCGGTTTACGTAATTATTTGACCGTATCCTAAACTGGGAATAATACGAACGTTGTATACAGGACGATCGCTTCACAGTTCAGCGTTACTGACGAACGTAAGACTATGCCGAGTTTTCAAATATTTCCAATTGCCAAATGCTGATTTAAATCGTTTTTAATACTACTGCAAGATTTTGTTTTGGTTAATATCTCAATTAAAAATTATTCTGCTCAACTATCAAATTCACTAAAATTAAATTGCCAGAGAAGAAAATAAATTGACATTTAAGCACATCTGTTAGGAATATTATCCTAATATTGCACATTTTTTAAATGAAAATATCTGTTCTTCCTTTGTTCATTATACCGGTTTGCCGGTTAAGCAAAGTAAGCAATTATATCTGGAAGAAAATCGCTTCCAAAATTCCTTGTTTAATAAAACCTGGCCATAATATCCCTGAAAATGAAATTTATGTTCTACGTGCATCCATACATCCGCTAGAAAGCGTAGCAATAATCCTAAATACAAAAAAAAGAAATTTCTCTAAAATCAGATTAAAAAAATAAGTTAATTAAATTAAATAATTATCATGGATTTTCTTTAAAATAATATTTAAAAAAATAAATCCAATTTACATTGGAAATTCTTGAAATTACTCTCTCCATTACGCAAAATTTTGGTTACGGACTTTTTCCTTAATTTCTCAAATGATGGGCGAAAGACAATACTGATTTGGAATATATGACAACGCCATGTTAAAAGTCGTTATAACTGAGCTGCACTAAAAGCGTTGTGTTTTACAAAAAAGCAGTATTGTTGCATTAAACAACATATAGAACTCGTTTCATAAGGTTGGCTTGTCTCCAGACTCATGGCTCCAGCACTGAAAGATCTGGCTGGCGCCGTTATGCAAATCCAGAAGTAAATACAATTTTAGTGTTGTTTGTTAAGCAAGTATAATGTATCTATTGCTCTCCTGTGAAAAGCTTTCGAACTAGGCAGCAACAATGGTGAAATCTGTTTCAAAAACCAAATTTATTGTGTTTAATATTGCGAAAGGAGGCAAAAAACAAACGAATTAAACCAATCTATTTCTTTTAGTAGTTTGCACCCTATCCACTATGCAACATCACATCTGTTCAACATAAAATTAACACACTAACCTTGTAATGAAATAAAAGCATTTTTTACGTTTCTTCAGAACTAACGAAGAGGATTAAGTATATTTAAAGCCCTTAATTATGTTCGTTTTTATTCATTTGTTATCATCCAAAATATCTATTTCGATTTAATTCTTTATTTTTGTTTTTGAAGTTATCATATTAGTTCTAGAATAGAAGTTATTATTATATTGATTATAAATATAAATATTGTATTTACTAATTCGTATTGTAATTTATGTGTATTTTCTAACACTGTCCCAGTGAACGCAAAAATTTGGATCCATTAAAACTTTTCTAGCAAAATCAAATGAAATTACCTAATTATGTGTCTCAAACTGCAACTAACAGCTAACAGCTAACAGAGTGCTTCAAAAAACATGCTCCAATCCTTCGAGGATTATGAGATTCCTCATTTAAAAGAAAAGAAAAAAGATCATATAAAATCATATTAACCTGAAATACATACTTTAAAAAGTAACTGAATGTGAACTAATTCTTAAAAAAACGGTTTTTTACAATACGTTAATTATTTTTTACCCCATTTTGTTTAAATTTCACAAAATCGTTTAAAATGATAAAGAACTCATTTTACTAAAATTGCTAGAAATCCGATTCCATCTCTTAAAGCGGAGTTGTAAATTCAAGAGAGATTTTATCTTTTGCCTTGCTTTAACTAGATTACAATTGCAATTTTTTTTATTTACTTGAAGTGCAAATTTGAGTTGTTTTCCTATTTTCATAAAAATTGAGAAAATGTATTTTTACCTTTTAAACCGCGTGATACACAATAAACTCAGTTGTAAAAAAAGTAATATTAAAGAAAGTGATGAAAATGATCATTATCAGCTTCATTGTAGGCGTAACCAGGATATGGATGATAGGGACTTTGAAGCTCTGTTAGAAAAGTCATTTTTTCAATATTTACCATCGCGTATCTTGGAAACTAAGTACGTACCAGTTATGATTCATGTAAATGGTCCATGCAAATTGCATCATTTAAACATGCTTAGACCAAGAGAGCTTTGTAATATTAATTGAACAGTCTTCCACTAGGCGTCTATAACAGCGATAGGAAAGTTATCTCTAAGGACTGCAGACAGTCCGGAGTCAAATTAATATAGCCTTAACGGTAGATAGGTAGAACCCAAAATCAAATTAGGGATTTGTCTAAGACTTATCAGCGTGGTAAATTTCTTGATGGCAAACCCAGACGGCAGGGATTTGCCAATAGGTTTCTAACCTCGGTCTTGTAATTGAAGATATATTTTGTGGGAGCAGTTTGACATTCTTTTTGTAGATGCATAATTATTAAAAAATAATTATTGCTGTTGAAAACCTTTCCAATATTATATTAAATACGACGAGGTTAAAAGGCAATTAATAAACCAGTCCGGTTTTCCACAGGTTTACCCATAGGATAAATTTTATGGTAATTGTAACTTTATACCAGCCGATTCATAATTTCGCCCTAAAATGATTTGAACGTTACTTTAAATAAGCAATATTGGAGTGCCAATAAAAATAATAATAATTATATATTTTACCTACTCCGTGGGTTTTTTTGAGAAGTCAAGAACGTTCTAGACAGGTAAAAACCAAGGCGCCTACGCTGTAGTTTAAAATACACCCTTAACTGTTTGAGATGCACTGACTCCCTTAATTGAAAACCGATAATCTGACAATGGCAACCTATGGGTCTGGTTTACACATAGAAATTATCATAGACTGGCATCTCATCGACCGATTTCTACGTTCCATTAGCTGTCAATGCTGTCCGTACGTATCAAGCGAATACAAACACAAATCTGAAAGGAGCCCGAGCTTTGGAATACATCCATTTTCGTTCGCTGTTCACCCTGTAAACCGGAGCAGGATCAACGTGTTATATTAAAAGCTCTTGGAGCATTACTACGGCACCGGTTGTGTGTGGGAACAGCGACCGTCACATCTGATAGTAAAGCAAAATTTGTTATCGAACGTTCACGTTGTTTACTTTTTTCCAGTTATCGCTCGTCGCGCGATTGAATAACCGCTCGTCCGGTTTTCCGCTGTTTGTTTCCCAATTTTCCTCGTTTCCATTGATTGGCGCGCTCCCGTTGCCGGTGCTGCTTTCGAAACGTCAAAGGATGAGTGGCGTTTTAGTGGATACTTGTCAGGGAAAGGTTAGAGGAACTACAGGTACAGATTACTACGGCGGTTCGTTTTTTAAATTTGTGGGCATACCCTATGCCAGGGCACCGATAGGCGACTTGCGATTTAAAGTAAGTGTAAATCTGGGGTGGTAAATAGATCCTCTAAATATGGAATGTAATTGTTTTATCAGTCCGATTTTATCGACAATCTTACCCGTGTATTAAAATTTTAAGAAAGGTAATTTTTGTTCTTTTGGCACCAACGGGAGATTCTAGATGAGTGTCAGAAGAAATTTATAAACTTCTTCCATGCTATACTTTTTCAACGATCACTATTCTTTTTATACATTATTTCAAAACACCACGATTTACTGATTGACGGAGTGATGTGACCATTAGAAACGACTAACGTCATAATAGCATCAGTGTTTTAATTTACTTCCGCTTTCTACCAACTCGTGACTAAAGTACCGGAAGAAAAGCATTGCGAGACTGCTTAATGAATATGACGTTTTAAAGTGACCCGTTGGTACATAATTGGGTGTTTTAGAATAGAGAGAGGAAAAATCTTTATTTATGTAGTAGATTTAACAATACCAAAAAAAAAAAAAAAATTCGGAATACGAACTTAAGAAATAAAAAAAAAACTAACCAAAACTATCATTTCCAGAGTCTGTTGCAAAAATACAGATATTATAGTGAAACGGCAATGTAAACAAATAAAAATAAAAGGTAAATAATCATAATGGACTTTATCGATTCAAAAAATAAAAGTTCAAAAAAAGGATATTATCTAATGCTCTAGACGAGTTTCAGATCAACCAGGATAAAGTTACTAGCTGTTATTAACACTTGGCACTAAATTGAAATTATTTATTAAAAAATGATGATTAATGATGATTTATGTGAAATTTATGCATTAAAAAAAAATTCTCATATTAAGGTGATTCAGATTATTACAAAAATCAACTTTAAAAAAGCTTTACCGAAGGTATTAATTCAGTTTAACAAGCATTGATACAGAAGTATTATTTAAAGATTTTATAAGAAAATTTTTAAGTTCCCACCAACTTCCTGTTAAATTTTAACAGTGTTGTTTTGAAAATTATAGTTACTGCTACTGGTCGTCAACATTATTTCTGTTTAAACGAGATATATAACTGGGTATCTTGTGCAAAATTTTAAATTTACCGAGTATATTCAAGTTTTTAAATAATTAGACATCAGTCAATTAGACATCATATTTATTTATCAGTTTTATGAGTTTTATTGAGTTTAGTAAATAGTAGTCCCGTCAACCAAAGTTAAGTGGTTTTGATTAAAGATTTTAATTTTCCGGTACAGTAAAGGACAAATAAAAATCTCCTTCACTTCACAACCTGGGTCAGAAATTACTTTTTCATTTCATCCGTATATTTTTGACGTACCCGTTGTTAACTGTTATACAATTTAATCAAAAAATCATGAATAGTCATAGTATCTATCCACTTTTGGACACTTTTGCAGGTGTTATTTGTTAATTAATTAATTAATTTAGCGTTTTACAGAAAAATCGCATTGCAATCGCATCTGAAAAACCAAGGGCGCAAATAATGAATATGAAGAAATGCGAATATGAATTATCAACCATCAGGCCAAAATTTAAGTGATTTATGAAAATAATTAACAACGTATAATTAAAACAATAAAATCTTGTGACGCGATTATTTTTTACTAAAATCTCGTAGCGAAGGTTGCGTTCCAACAGAATAAATGCAAATGTTTATTTAAATGAATATGCCGGAACATGTTAAAATATTGTTCCATCCAAATATACTTTTTCTTTAAATATTCTGCTTATGTTTAATAAACAATTTGGTATGGAACAAACACTTACTTTACTCATGCTTCATACATTTGGTTACAAAAATTGTGTTTAGTCCTTTTTTTGTTTCGCTTTTACGCATCAATCCAAAAAAAACTCTTGAAAACTTAACCTTGAGGAATCCTATTTTCAATATATTGAATGCTTGAATGAAAATTATTCATATATTCATATAACAAACAAAATAGTGGTTTATGTAACCGAAAAGTATGTGTGTATGTGTTTCTTCTGTTGAACTTTTTTTTTTTTTAAATTTGCACTAGTCAATCCATATAATTCTTTTTAAAAAAGCTTGAAGCTCCTGGATCTCTTGCTCTATTGAAGTGTATTCAAATACAATAGCACTGTTTATTAACGTATGAGGAAATGCATAAAGTTTATAGTAAATTATAGTTTTTACAGCTTATCGCTCTTCTTGTGAACCTCTTTTCATTCATCGCGGGCAAATTTGGATAGAGCTCATGCTTACTGCATATTCTTGCTTAAACCTAATACAATGAATATAAATGAAAATAAATAAGAACTGAAAGTTCAGATTTTCACGGAATTATATATTTTGACATGACCATTGTTTCGACAACACCATGTCTTTATCAAATCTAATATTTACAAACTACCTGCTACTATATATACCAAAAAATAACTATAAAACCTTAATTAATGTGGTTGCGAGAATTTAAGACTTTAAGAATTTAAATTAAATTAAATTAATTAAATTTAAGAATTTAAGTTCAATATTTAAATCTAATTTATCGTTAAGCAATACATTTGAATGTCTCTTTTGTGGCTGTATGTAATATGTCAAAATTGTCGTCAAAAATGTGTTTTTCTGTGTTTAAGTGTGTAGCATAATTAGAATCTAGACTATTGTTTTTAAACGCTCTTTTATATTCGTTAATGCGTTTCTTGAAAGATCTACCTGTTTGTCCAATATAAATTTTAGGACAAGATGCACATTTCAAGCTGTAGACACCTGATTTTTGGGATTTTTTAAATATTTTCCTATTGTGTTGTTAGTTCTGAAAGATATTTTTAAACCACATTTTGACAAATGTTTTAAAACTTTTTCACTAGGTTCTCCTATGCATGTAATTGTTTTAAATTGTTCGTGTTCTGTATTAGGTTTCGGATAGAGTTTACTGTTGTCTGTATTTGTTTTTTATTTATAATTTTATCTATAATGGACGAATTGTAGCCGTTGTTCAGTGCAATTTGTTTAATGATATTAAGTTCTTTGTTGTAATTTTCTGTTGAGAATGACGTATTAAGAAGTCTGTGTATAAAAGAGTTAAATCCAGCCATTTTGTGTGTATAAGGGTGATTTGAGCTGTTTGTATGACTTTGTCCGTGTGTGAAGGTTTATGATATATTAAAAAATCTAATTTGTTTTGCGCTTTCTTAATAGTTAAGTCTAAAAAATTAATAGAATTATCCTGTTCAATCTCGATAGTGAATTTTATACGATTATGTATTGAATTAATGTAATTTAAAAAAGAATTTAATTGTCTGTCAGTTCCAACAAATCAAGCAAAGACATCATCCACGTATCTATACCACCATAAACAACTTTTATTTAAAGGATGTTCTAGTATGATATTTTCCAGACGGTGTTGTCGAAACAATTGTCATGTCAAAATATATAATTTCGTCCAAATCTGAACTTTTAGTTCTTATTTATTTTGATAAATGGATTTTCATCAAGTAAAAGCCACCTCAGTTCAATTTTCGAATATAAATTAAATTAATTCCATAAATGCACCGTCAGAATTATAAGATTCATGATTCCTAGATATCGGAAATTCGAAAAGTCGACGTAGACAAATTTCTTTTGCTTGGCCAAAATTGCAAATTACATTTCATGCATCTCTTTACTTTGTTACAGTGAATTGAATTAATAAAACATTAAATAATGTTTTCTTTAAAACGTTTCATTCAACTAACCAAAAGTATGAAACTGATTTACTTTTTAAGTTTCGTATGCTATCTATATAGACATCAGTACGCCGAATAGAGTAATCGTCACTTAAAATAACAAAATTGCGTCATGGTCGACCTTCGCTTTTTGGTAGATCAAGCTGGTTTTTTTGTGCGATTCGGGAGACGTATTAAGGAAATGTAAAAGTGGTTATAAAATATAGGTGGCAATTTAACAGCAACTTATCAGATGTTAATTAAAAACAAGTGTGCGCAAGAGGGACAACCAAATATTTCGATGACCATACGACAACTACCAATTCAAATAACTACAAAATTCGACGGCGAATATATTTTTAAATTTCAAATCGAAATTTACATTCGACGTTCAGCAAACTGATATTTTATTTATTTAATTTCTCTACTACTACAATATTTCATTATATACATCATACAGGGTGATCTCCAAATTATAATAGAGAAACTTTAAGAGCGTATTCAGCAGATACAAAATAAAGAGATTTTGCTTTTAAACTTATTAAACATTATTGACACTTATATCACATTTACATTTTAATTGATATAAAAAATTTAAAAAAAGTGCTACGCCAATGCTCCATCGTAATTTTGTTAATAAATTTAGACACCCCGGCCAATTCAACCGCCGAAACGGACAATCTCTAGAAAAACAACATTGTTTACCTGTACACCAAATATCTCAGGTTTTCAGATTAAATTTATTCGGGCTACGAAGTTTGAAAGCAAAATCTAGAAGAGATTTTTTTAAAAATAAGAAAAGACGATTTTTTCGCAGTATTTCAGTACCCGGCCAATTTATGTGAAATTAATTTTTTCCTCTGAATACTCATAATAATTTTTGAAAACTTATTAATTAGAAATATTGTTTTCTTTGCACATTTGGAAAAGGGCAGCGAAAAACGGTTACAGTTCTTTGATCTAAGTTAAATGTAAAACGGAATTTGTCCTAACAATGTATGATGTATATTAACATTGTTAGACTCTTTAAATCAAACGGACGCCTATGAAGTCGCTCATTATATGGAAATTATATAACAATATTTTTAGCTCCCTAACTCGAAAATTCCAAATTATAACGCCCCACTTCATTCAGTGAAGGTATTCATGCTTTTATTGTTGGTTTTGGTTAGTTGTTGGTTAGATATTGATAGGCATTCCTCACGTCACGAATTCGTGCGGTTTTACAGGAATATGCCAAGGAACTAATGGTCGTAGTAAAAGTATAGTATGCCACATCTTCAAAAACTTCAATAACTTCTTTATTAAGCACTCGTCAAAACTCCTGACTAAACATTCGTTAAGCAAACTTGTTCCGTAATATACATTGGTGGTTTACTGCATGAAGTTCTGCTATTAAGTACAGGAGTACTTTGGCTCAAAGTGAGTCTCCATGATTTTTGACAAGAATTATCGAAATAACCTACCAACGGCAATAAAATCACTGACCACTCGGTTCTACAGGCTCAAATCAAATGTAAGAATCTTGAGCTGGAGTATGGGCTCATAAATGTATTATTATACAGTTAGAAAAAGTTCAAAGGAAATTGTTAAAATGTTTAGCCTTTAAGTGCGATATCTTTCCACGGAGAGGCTTTGATCATCTATTAAGGCGAATTATGAAACAGTTCACTTGTTATTTGAATTATGCAGAACTCTTATAAACTGCTCTGAATCGTTATTACTGGTCGCTTTTCACCTTCCTTTTGCTCCTGCCACAAACTTTTAGGTTTTTACTGTATTGGTATACATTCTTGACTTTTTTACTGAAGCTAAATAATCTCCAAGTGCGCAATCTGTGCGATTGCTATGAAGGGTGCATCTAATAATTATACTAGTTTCATCTTCCGTTTTTCTCTCTTGCGCTGTTAAGAATATCCTTTATCAAGGGTATTGGCGTTTTCGTAGTAATTAAACATTTTTTTTCCCAATTTGTTTTGCATCTAAAGACAAGTGATTTTAACACGACACAAGAAAAAATTGGTGGTATATTTGTAAGAAGCTTTTTTTTTAAACTCACCGTAAAACGGGTTTATTCAACACTGCCACTGACTGACACATGGTCGTCGTTCCTGTCTTGTCCCTATGAATTAAATATCGGTTGGTTAGTTTACCCAGTGACAATAGGTATAAAGGTCGTAATTATACTTTAAGATACACTTTACCAATTCAATAACTGTATAAAACTAAATAACTTAAATCAACCTTTGCTCGCATATTAGTAATAACCATGAAAAAAAACTAATTTTCATGCTGCGTATGGCATAATCGACGGGTCTCACTTAAAATTGATTCTAGTTAGTATTCTTTAATATTTTTTGCGTTTTTCACTTTGTAGCACAATCAGCCAGGTAGAAAATTACAGTGGCGATTGGAATTTGGCCGCTCAAGGTTTGTTTGATGGCAATTTTCTCCAATTTGTCAAACTGCACACCGACTTTTCATCACATCTCGTTTAATTTAAATAAAATATAATAATAGTAAAGTAATAAAGTTAATTCGCGACCCAAAGTTTACAAAACAGATAAGTGCAAAATGTTTTTGATCCACAGATGTTTTGAATTTGCTTATATTACTGCATTTGTAAAAATTCGATTTCAAAATTTAGTTAAAAAACAGACATATGCAACATACACAACAAACTAAAATACTGAAAGCCATTTTTGTGCAAATCAATAAGTTTCTACTTCAAAAGCTGCTGCTAGTCACAGAAAGCTTGATTGTAGATTGGTTTCAAGTACACATCTGAAAAACTTAAAATGATATTTGGGTAAGGATTTCTGTATACGAAGTTCGTATACTTCAGTATATCCGCTATTGTTGCGTTTCTGTACATATTTTATAAATTGTACAATTTTTAATCAATAAGGCAATAGACCGGACAATACATTTTTTTCAAAAATTGAAGGATCATATCTAAAAAATAGTTTGACCCTCCTCGCCAGCAAAGCTCCCGTCTTTAAAATTTGACTTAAAAGGTCTACAAAACAAATTTCATTAGTAAAATTTGGCTTCCTTAGTGTGGCAAATGAAAACAATTGCCATTTTACAAAATGTTCGTTTTAATGTCATGATATTTAATTTGAGATTGAACCCTGTTTTCCACAAACGACTAGATACCATACTATTTTTGTCGAGAAGAGAATGATTTTTCGCACATACTTCCCAATCTCACTCAAAACAATGGCACATTTCAACTAAAAACTGTCGAATGGACGAAGTGTCCTGCCAGTTGGTAAATGCCGCTAGGTCTTATTGGCTGAGAGCGATTTTATATGACTGGGCATATGGATATTGAACGAATTTCCCAAAAAAATTTTCATGAGGGTATTAAAACTTCCTGTATTATCAGTATGAGTTCCTTCATATATCTAGTAGCTATATGCAAAGGACAATTAACTTTAACCCACACTTTATAGAAATTAATTAAAAGCAGTCCTTATGATTAAGTCTAGTTATGGGTGTTGTTGTGGGTAGATAAATGGTACAGTTTCAAAAATAGTTTTTCAAATCAACTAATATACTACACAACAAAAAAGTTTGCTTCTAAAAAATTGGTAGGACCGTGCAATTAAACGAAAGGTTTTAAAATTGTTCCGGAAGAAGTAAGATCTGGTTATCTTTTATAGGCACCACAACCTCCAGAACCATGGGAAAATGTACGCGATGCAACCAAGGAAGGTCCAGAATGTCCATCTGCTGATATGTACTTCACATATTTCGTCGGAAACGAAGATAATTGTCTGAATTTAAATATTTACACCAAAGACGTAAGGTTAAATGAAATACTTGCTTGTAACGATATTCCTTTTTAAAAAATAATCTACGCAGCTTAAAAACGTTTCACCAAGGCTATTTTTTTAGTTATATTGTCAAACATATTTCATAATGATTCTGTTTAATTCACAGCTCAATGAAAAAACATAAGTGTAGCTAGTATTAAGATAATTCTGGCAATATAGTCATTATTACGAAAATACTGGTTTCCCACAGATTTAATTTCCGTTTAGAAACAAAATATTCGGTTAAAAGTTTAAGTTAATCAAAAGAGTTTGGCAGGCAATATATGAATCTCGGACATTTATACCATCGTTGGGCTAACAGCATTTTATCTTTTTAACATACAAAAAAAGTTCAATCTACTATTGTACTATTACAAAATTAACCTTTGAATGTTATCACAGACCGCCACTAAAAGGTTTTTGCAGGATATGTCGCGTTAGCCTTTCACCAATCTACATATATATCAAACATGTTTGATATTATTAATAAAACATGTTGGCATGAAGAACAGAGCATTGCCTTAATGTCAAGATACGGTAACACGACTCACAATTGATATGTAATCAGTAAATAAATTTTAAATAAAATTATAGCTTTAATAAAAATTACTAACAAAATATGTTTCACTTTAACAAGTCTCATTGGCAAAACAATTCCAAGTAGCGAAATATTCCACGCTTTCAAAGCAAACTTGAATCAGATAAAAAGGATTTTTGCAAGAGTGCAATATTTCAAATTCCGGGTAGCGATAACATTCCTTTAAATTATTGAAGGTAAGATAAAAATATACAGATGGAATCTTACTGAAACTTGTTCACAGTTGGTCAAAGTTTGGATGTTTGTAGTTTTGAATAACCTCAATTTAAGCTTTTTAATGTTGTTTCATAAGTTTAATTCCTCTTGCAGCCCCAAAAAGTACTAAATATTAAAAAATATATAGTATTTTCAATAAATTAATATTGCTAAGTTTGAAAGAAATAGAAATAGTCAGCCATTCTCTGTATTTAATTCCAATATCCAGTTAAACGTTCTTGATATTTATGTAGTAGGTATATTTTATCCCACCCTACCTAATGTCCACAATATCTTTTAAAACTATTTCGAGAATGTTGGGACTATTACAGGAATATTTGCAAAATTTTGATTTTGAAGGAAAAAAATGATGCTGTTCAAAACCTCAAACATGCAATATGGATGACGATTCGGAAAAAAGGAAATACCGTACAAGATACGGCAAAAATTTAAGCTTAAGAAATCTAATAAGAAATATTTTACAATTTTTTTTTGTTATTTATAATTACGAAAGATATATAATTTTTTAACAGGAGATTTTCGGGCTTGTCCAAGCGCAACTTTATCCTAATTTGAACTACCCTGTATATCTTACCGCCTTCGACATCCAAATGAGCGTCGACTTTTGAACATGAGTTATATGCAATCGTTTCCTTAGTTAAGTTTTGTAAAAGGATTTCTCACCCAACCTCTATCCAATTAATAAATCACCCCATACATGGGTACCTTATACTAACTAATAATAAAACTAATCATTTCATTGTTGCTTTATGATTGCGCTCAAAAATAATATAATAAAAAAATATATCCTAATGTATAATAATAATTATTTACGAAAATATCATCAAACTAGTGTCCAAGGTTATTCGTGCCTATAAAAACTTTTCACCAAATTTTAAAAATGGCATATTATTTAAATTGGAGGTTAAAATATTTCTAGGAAATAGTCACATTAATAATTGTTGATTTGGCACTCCGAACTACGATTGCTGTAATATAACGTAAAATAAATACAGAGTTTGGAACCACAATACATTGTATTCGCCAGTTCGCAAGTTTACTGATGACACGAACCTGGTTAGGATTATCCATCACCAAAACCATTCCACATATTTAAGAATTCCTTTAGTATTGTTGTGCGTTGAACAATATCTACATAAGTTAGCTTTTAATCACTTGTATGCCTTTAGTTACCAAATGACACCAACAAACCTAAGAAGCCGGTCATGGTTTGGATTCATGGAGGTGGATTTACATTCGGTTCGAACAAAAGCGAATCGTTTGGACCGGAGTATTTTATGACGCAAGATATCGTCCTTGTTGCGGTTAATTACCGATTAGGTATTTTAGGTATGTGGTAATATCGTAGGCGGTCGGGAAAGGATAATCTTATACACTCTTTCTTTTTTGACATTTTTGCCAAGTAATCGAAACTAAATCGCGCAAATCTCTTAAAACTCATTTTGAATTAAAAATATTTAGTAACAATTTCGTAATTCGAAAAATGAATTTATATCTACATTAACATAGGGTTAGTAAAAAATCCTGGCTCAATATTTCAGAGAGTTTACAAGTTTTCTGAATAATTGTATGGAGTCCGAACTGTCTTAATTTAAATGAACAAGGTAATTTTTGATTTAATTTTTAAATTGTGCCTTACAAAAATATATATTATTCTCATTCAAAATAGAAAGTTATAATCTCGAATCGAAAAAACTATAGAGTTGGCAAAATCACCCATATTAAATTTCGAAAGTTTTAACGCAACAGTTTCTGAGATACGGCTACGGGACTTACAAGGCTGTTATCTTAAATGTAACAAAATATTTATAAACGATATTATAACATGAATACTAAATAAATAATAATAATAAATAATAAAATATATAGGATAATGTAAAATATGAAAGAAAAATATTAATAAATTGAACGAAGGTGGCTTTTAGTTGATGAAAATCGATTCAACAAGTTAAATTTAGAACAAACGATATTCAAATTTTCACAAATTATTTATTGGTGTATGACAACTAGAGTTGTGGAATTGACCGGTCAGTTTTTTTTGTGTGAATTGACCTAAACAATTTTAAAAATATAATGAAATTTATATTTATTTATTTATAACGTGCGTTACCTTGCCATCGCGTCTTACTGGGAACCAAACGTAATCGATATTATTATTGGGATTCGCCGAATAGTGTACGGATATTCCTTGAAGAGGGTTATAGATAAATGGAATATCTATATATATATATATATATATATATATATATATATATATATATATATATATATATATATATATATATATATATATATATATATACCATGAAAGTTTCGAAACATTTCTCTAAATTTCATCTTCAGATTGCCTTTAAAATCGAAAACACCATAGGAAAATATTTACAAAAAAATAAAAAGTAACAAAAAACTCAAAAATTTGGACTGTACAGTTGTCCTTTGCTAAATCTAAATTAAAATTTAAACGTCGAAAGATGGACCTTATCGAATATAACGAATTCTTATTTATAAAAATAGACAAATGTTCTCTAACCGAGCCTGTAGTTATTAGTTTTTCAAGGGTTCAAAGATAATAGAAAAGGATTGTCAATTTACAAAAGAGTGACTGACCTACTTCAAATGTTAAGTTTAGAACTAAGTAAATAGCAAATGAGCCTAGTATTTTTCAATAACAGAACAAGAAAAAACTTTAAAATTATCAAAAAGTGAACTAATATGCCATGAAAAAAAAAACTTTTACAAAAGGCGACATCGACTATTGTGAGTCAGGCATATTAATTGAAGGCAGTTAAAAACACTTGTCTGCAATTGTTCCGTTTTGTTTTTAACAATTGAAAGCCAGAGCACTGATAAATTAGTTAATGTATGACACTTGAGTTTATTTTTACACGTAAGGTTAATCAAAGTGTAAAGTTTGCAATTAGCAACTGAACGAAAATTCAATTCTAGGACGTAGATAGACTCGGTTATGATTGCAAAGAGTATTAATTTTTGTTGGTGCGTACTCTTGAAATTTTGTTTGGAATTTGTAAATAGATATGATAATATATTTTATGGACCGATGCAAGTTGGTTCACTACAAGTAAAGGCTTTAATAGAAAAAAAGGTGATATTGGTTTATAAAGAATCCTCTGCGAATACATAAAATAAGAACCCAAAAATATCAGTTTGTTAATGTTTGTTGGCTTATATGACACATATATCTTGGGTCCGCTTTTGGAAGAGCTAAAATTAACTGGAGATCATTATTTACATCTCGTAGAATACTGTATAATACTACATATAGAAGATCTACCCCCAAATGTATCAACACAGATAATATAGCAGCAAGATAGTGCGCATCCTCACAAAGTCATCCGAATCAAAAATATTTCTAACTATGAAGTAGCCAACTAGCCTGGAAATGACTTAATGGATCATGCAATTAAAATTTACAAAAAATGTGTTGAACAAAATGGTGTTCAAATACAGCAATATTTAGAATATTTTAAAAAAGTATTTTATTCTTATTGCAAATGTGAACATGCTTTTATTATCTTTCATTTGTAATTTTTTATGATAAAGTAAAAATCACATATTAACTGCTAACCCTACATTTCGTTTTATTATTAACTAACCATAACAAAAAAGTTACAATTAATAAAAATATTATCACGATAAATTGAACGCACGGTACGTAAAACAAGTTTCTTTTGGTTGCTGTGATAAAGATTGGGAAATGGATTATTTAATATTTATTACATGTATTTAAAATTTAATATGTTCAGTAATATTTAATACTATTGAAACGATCCTGAATATTTTTGCCTAAAATATTTGATCTAACAATGATTTTTCCTAACAGTGATTTTTCCTTAACGTGTAGTTAGTACCTTCCGTCTTGAAGAATGGAATGTACATAATTGCGATATTCATTTACACAATAACATTAGAAAAAGAAACTTTAATCTGAATAAACTGCATCAACCTTGACTTACTTATCTGCAATCTTAACATTATTGCATATTTTTAAATAACTATGTTCTACCTTAAACCTTATTAACCAACCTGAAACTCAATGGAGGTTATTCGGTATGATTTAAACAATATTGTGATCATCAATCCTATCACGGGCGTTGGCAAACAAAAACTGTTTGGAACAAGAATAGGAAAACTGGGTGCAACGTTAAAGCCAGCAAGACTACTTTCAAAATGATAAACAAGAATTGAATATGATTCGGTCAGCTTACTGAGTTTGATTCGCTAAGATTGGTTTCTACAAATTGAAAGTCAATTTTGTAATCACCTTAGGTGATAGTTTGCAACGCTTTCAAAATTTCTTCCCTTAAAAATAAAAATTTCTCAATAATACCGAAAACAAAAATTATACCATACTTATATTCTAAGGCAATAGTGGCCGATTATCTGTTTAAAAAATTGTCCCACTCTGTACAATCTGTAATTTATTCGGTTTTATCTTTCAACTTTTAGGTTTCGCTTCATTCAAAGACCCCAGTATCGGGGTTCCCGGAAACGCAGGCCTAAAAGACATGAGAATGGCATTGCGTTGGGTTCAAGCTAATGTCGAAAAATTCGGAGGAGATGTTAATAACATCACAATTTTTGGAGAAAGTGCGGGCAGTGCATCCGTTCATTACTTAACACTAAGTGAAACCACGAAAGGTAACTTTAAACGTAGATGACCACCTCAATCAAATTGTGAAAATAATATCCTAAAGTCTACTTCAAAAAGGTGTAAAGTAATAAGTATGCTAAAGGACTACAGAGTGGCTTAACAAATACTAAAACGTTGGCATTGAATTACAGACTTTTTTAGACAAACCATTTTCGAGATATACTTCATATATTGTATTTTATAAATGGAACACCCTGTATTTTTTTTGGCCCTAAAATTATGCATCACTCTATGCACTTCTGACGTGCTTATGTCCACAAGCAAAATTAAGCAGATATTTTAGTTAGCTCAGCCCTTAGATGGATTTTTGTATAAATTGGTTTCCATTTTCTACTTTTCTACAAAAATGAAATGAGACACAAAGAAAAGTCAATATTAACATGAACCGCGTACGTTTTTCTTTGCAATATTATGGGTGAGGAAATGACACCACTGGACTTAATACTGTTAATTTACTTAGTGCTAAAAGAGCTACGTATTATCAAATTTTCAACGATATTGGTAAGAGAATGTTAAAAAATCGGCCCCAATATTTAGTAAACATCTTTATATAACACCTTGTATATTTTTTGTCAAACAGCGTCGAAATTCATATTAAATGATAGGCTTTTCGTTGGGCACTGTTCGTTGCCAATATTCGTCATTTCTGTTCATCTTGTTTCAGCTAAATTGCGACCAAATATACTGTGTCTCAAATCTCATCTTGACTTTTAACGGGCAGAACTTTAGGGACTGATTTTTAAGGTGTTTTAAAAATATAAGAATTAAACATTATCTTTTTTTATGAAGATATAATAAAATCACTTTAGAACTAATAGAAAACACGACGACACTAAATATCTACAAATTATTAATAATTACGTTCCTATTCAAAAAGTAATTCGTCATTGAGATTAGTTATGTATGAATTTTCAATTTTTGAAATATGCTGTTCGGCATTTTTCCAGCTGCCAATATTTATATTATTAATTACAATTTTAATTAAATTTATTACACTCGTAAATAAAATAGGCGAAACATTTTCTGCTCTCACATTTGATTTTGCGGGGAATATCCTTGCAACAAATTTGTGAGATTAAACTTCTTTTAAAACCAAAAAACTTTATTATTTTTAAGGAAATGAAAGAATTTTTCTCCAAGAAAGAATTAAATTTATATATACAATACTTTGCAGTAATTGTTGAGAGAACGTCTGTCTATTCCAAATATATTGTGAAAGTAATTCAAATTCAAAATTTCTACCGCTTCGATTGGTGCCATTGTGAATAATTATGTTACATTTCTCCTGCGGACAGGAGGGGTAATATCATGTAATATCAGTCGTGCATACCCGATAGTGACATTAAATAGTCTCACTTTTTGTATTGAAAACATACACTTTTTTGCATAGTTTGTGGAAAACAATTCAGCCCATCCCTTAACATAACTCTGATTTACTAGGAGCACAAAAAATGGTACTGCTTTTACTCTAGATGTAAAACATTGGGTTCCCAATCACTGGGAGGGTCCATTCTTACTTTGGTATTGATTGCTCCCACGTTCTTGTAATATTCTAAATATGAGTTCCCGCGAGAAGGATCAGCCACATTTACTGAGTCGAAGTATCTTAGAGCAGTGACCAAGTAGTGCGTAAAACGTACAACAATGTGGTTCTTATTTTGCCGTCCTGCTGCATCTAAAAAAATTGAAAAGAAAAGAGCATACTTCGTTGACTCCTTTTTGCCATGTATTCAGGGTAAGTGTAAAAATAAAATTGGGCATTGAAAAGTACGTGTATATTAAAGGTAAACATGGAGAGCGCACGCTTGTAATATACATCATGGGTCGATATTTTTGGACGGGAAATGTTTTTCTGTTATTCAATTGTTATGGCCTCAAATTCTTTTTGTTTTCGAGCTCTCTTGCGAGTCGCCGTTTTTCGATCATAAAAAACCTGCGGCTTTCACAAGGGAATTTCATTTTCAGTACGAAACGTATTAACTTTCAAATTTTCACCTGTAGAGCCTTTCTCGGAAGCTTCAATTTTCATCGAAAATTGACTACAAGTATCGGATCTAGGATATCCAAATCCAATAATAAATTTGGTTTGAAAAATCTCCCTATAAGATTGATAGGATGAAGAACTTGGAACATTCTGTACATCTTAATATTAAGTTCATCCGGTAAATGTGACCTATTTTCATTATCTTTATTATGTTTTAAACGAAGCAATGTGCGATTTAATACATTCTAAGGAATTGCTGTTCATTTTTTTGTATTTTTTTTCCGCTTTCTCTGTAAGTTAGAAATTCCATGCACTGCATTAAAAAAAATTTGCACATACTTTTAGTTTTTTGACAATGTTTTCTCTCTTTTAATCCTCACCCGGTATTGGTAACTACTGTCATGATACTTCGTCGTTGTATTGTGATTATTGATATCAGAGAGCACAGATAAGAATTTCGCACATTGTTTTAATTCAGGGAGTTAAAATAATCTAGGATACCTTGTCTATCACTCGGATGCACTTTTTCCGTGCATTTAAGTCTCCTACATTCTCAAAACTCTCCAAATTCATGTGACTGTAAGAAAGTTTTTGAGCTACTTGATACATTCTATCTATCTTGTTATTTTCAGGATAGTTAGCTATTTTAAAATGCAAATACAAACGATGCAACAACCTGCTTCATTGGTTCACTACTGTAAAACATGAAAATTACCCCAGCAAAATAGTTCAAGAAAGAAAGAATAACCGTTTCGGCTGGATATTTCCGGTTTATTACGTTTTGAGTTGGACATTCCGCGTTTACTTCTTATACAGCATTAGAAAATAATGCTGTAAAATATGTCGCTTTCTCCCGATCTGTGTAATATTGTAAATGTATTGTTTTTGCCGATTGATGGTTCCAGTAACCCATTTTGAATCAAAACTGGACATTACCTGTTTTCTCCTGACGCTCTTCAAAGGTCTTACGAAGTTGAATATATAATGATATGGATATCATATATATTATTCCTTAATGGCACACGAATTTAACACTTCAAAAAATTCGCCTCGTAATTGGATTCAAAAGAAGTATCATTTTGTAACAAACATTCGTGGTCTCCGTGGCGTAGTAGCTAATGTGTTGGTTTAATGGTTCGTTTAAAGAATCGTCTACTTATTAAACATTCATACACATTTTTCACAATTTGTTTCCCATCTGACAATTGATTTTGAAGCGACATAACGCAAAAATCACTTATATACTCGTAAGAAGCCAATACGTAGTCGACATCTACCTGACTATCTGTCTCGCATCTGTTTTGTCCCTTACATATGAATAAATTATTTTTTGTTGACTTTCCCCAGTAAAAATAGGTATGAAGGTCAAAATTACTTTTTGAGTGAAGATTCGTCAAAAGCCAAGACGATACACTGTACTATTTAGGTACTCGCTATTACATTGATTTTAGGTCTATTCCAAAAAGCAATAATGCAGAGCGGCAGTGCGCTCAGTAATTGGTCGTGGGGTAAACCTAATGCTTCAGAAATAGCCCACTGCTTGGGATATAAGGACACGGACGAGAAGAAAATATTTGAAAAACTAAAAACGGAACCCGCGAAAAATATAGTGAAATCCCAGAAAAAAATATCCGAAGTAAGCAAAGACAATAATACAATATTTTGTTATTGTATTTTCCAGAACTGAATCTGTTAATAGGGGTTCCTTCCCAAAAAAGCTCGTCCTTGGGGACCCGTCGTAGAACAGCCAAATGAAGATGCTTTTATCACCGAACATCCGTTGGATATTTTAAAGTCCGGAAAAAGTCACAAAATTCCGATGATAATTGGATTTAATTCGAGAGAAGGCATGTTCTTTGAGTTGGTAAGGAGGACGGTTCCAAACACGCCTCTACCAAGAAACTTTGAAATGGAATTTCCATACGAATTGGATCTTGAGCCGGGCAGCGAAGAATCCGAACAGGTCGCGAATCAGTTGAAAAAGTTTTACTTTGGCGACGAGGAGTGTCGAGAAGATAATATCGATCGAGCCTATATAGTAAGTCTAGGGGAATATGTAACTAAAATCGAAAACACCAGTAGTAAAATATATCTGAAAAACAAAATTCCAATTCCTAATATTTCTTATTTCATACTAATATTAACTGCAAATTCCGTGGTGTTTTTGCTACAAATGAAGAAAATTTAGTAATACGGTTATTATGGCAAAATTATTATTTATATGAAACATTCCACGAAATTGGGTGCTTTGAAAAGTCATAAGAATTCATTTTCGTCCTACCTACCGGGGCCTGCCATTGGTCGCAGTAATTTAATGTTGCTAATTCTTTCATCTCTGGTTATTTAAATAATATTACTGAAGTAAAAACTTCATAGCACTAGAGTTTGTACCAAAATATTTCTTATAAATTGACTTTAACCAAATGCCTATTAAGATGACCATTGTCGAAGTCTTGCGAGTCCCACCTCTGTAAATAGAGTTTTGCCATAGGCGTTTAAATTCACAATGTAAAAATACTGCATACAAGTAATCTAGAATCTCGTGTTTAAATACTGTAAATTTGACAAAAACACAGCATTATTTAAATATGATGAATCCAACCTCAGAACATTTTTAACAAACTAACCAATCAGCAAAACCCATTTTAGATGAGAGGAGATTCCAACTTCGTACACGGTATCCACAGGGCCTTCAAGCTACAAGCACAAAACTCCAGCAAACCTGTATACGTGTATCGGATGTCTTTGGAAGGTCCTCTGAACTATTTCAAGTTCTTTTGCACGTCTAATTATTTCAAGACGATGATCGCTTGCAATTTCCTTACAAAGTTGTGTTCTAAAGTACCGCCAGTAAAAAATTCAGTTTCCAAATTGTTAACTAAACTGCCAATGAAGGAAACTGAAGGAGTCGGTCATGCGGACGACCTCTTTTACTTGTTTCCCACCTTTTTCACGCCACCGATAGTCAAAGGATCGAAAGAAGACTTGTATATACAACGTTTTATCAAGTTATGGACAAATTTTGCCAGAACCAGCAATCCCACTCCGGAATCCGACGAAACTTTGTGCAACGTTATATGGAAACCGATTATACCGGATAGAGTAGAGTTATTGGACATCGGAACCGAGTTGAAGATAACCCCACACATTGACGAAGATCGACTAAAATTCTGGGACGACTTGTATAATAAGTACTATAAAGCTTAACTGTGCAGTAGAAAATTCTTGTTTTCGTGTTATATTGTTTTTGTTTCTTTGGTTCGCTGCTTGTTGCTTTGACTACATAAGTGTTGCCCCATAAAAGGACCTACCTATTCAACAAATACCAAACTAGTATTTTTTAAAGTTATTGCAGTAAAATTAATTTTGCCCATATAATTAGGCTTAGATTATGACAACTTTCAGTTTTCCCAAACTCTATAAAATATATAAATATTATGCACCAATAAAGAAGATTCTAATATGGACCCACTTTTATATTTTTTTCATTAACTCGAAAAAATATATGTGTATTAATGCCAAAATTTCCCTGTGTCGACTTCAAAGACATAGAGTTTTTTTATGTATTAAGTAAAATTGTGAATTTAAAATATCCAATATCATTCTTGAAATGTAAAACTAAAACTGTATTACTACAAGAAAGTCAAGTAAAATATAACGAAATAAAAAAGTAAATATCGACAAAAATCGAGAACATATGTATCCTTTTCCGCTCCAAAACATTACTTATGTGTCCACATGCGACACAGACATTGAATCCATAATTTCTCTTTTGTTTCATCCTAGAAATGAGCAACGCAGAACGTCCCTAAAGCCTTAATGAAAACTAACCAAAACACCCATTAAAATAGCTCCAAATATCTATTAAACAAAGCAATATCGTCCAGGTATTGCAATACAATTGTACAATTTTTTTGTATATATATTTATATACATTAATATACAGGATTGCACAACCCTTATGGAAGAATAAGTCAGCTAATATTGCTAACGCTAACTTCATTTGGTCTGCAGCGAAGTCCCTATTACTGAAAACACTTCCAACAGTGGCAGGTTATGTGCGATGCGTGCGGTATTTAGAACCTGCGCCGAAAGTGATAATGGTGTTGCTTCTGCGGGAGGGGACACGGCTCCGTAAAATAGTTTTGCCCAATAGTTCGGTGACCATGGATTATAAATAAACTAAATTTAGACGATTCACTCAGTATTCGCCATACCTCTCTGATTCGTTTTAGTTTGCCTTTCTGGGAGTTGCAATACAACTGTGGTAACAAATGGTCCGGAAGCAATTTCGTTCGTGATATGGGAAATGTATATTTTCTTTAGTTCACGCAATTTCATTTTGAGAGCTATTTTAAGTCCTTTTCGGGGATACTTTTTCAGAGAAATGTCAACGTCGCATTATATTATTTTATTGCTTATTTTGAACTTTGAGTCTTCATCGATGTTTTGGTTTTGTTGTATTTCCATCATTCGTGTATTATATTATCAAGTTTTTTATTAGTTTCTGGACTTTCATCTTGGATGGGTTAAATTTTTGTTTGTTTGTGTGTTACTGGTTGTTGATTCAATTTTCAAGTAGTATTGGGCAGTAAATATTATTAAAATGAAATAAACAAAAAATGCTCCTAGGACTTTTAGATGGATGCAAAGATAGAATTTTATTAGCCGTTAGCCCTTTTATAAATTTTCCTTTTTAAAATACATATTTAATACAAAGCGTCTTAGATTGACGGATTTATTTCTCTGTCCACCTCTCTCTATTTTCTAGTTACTCTTTCCCGTCACCAAATAGTGTTTTAATATATTATGCTTACAAAAACAATTAAGGAACAATAAAAAGAGCATTGAAATCTCGACTCTAGAAATTAATAAGTTTAATCAAATTACTATTTTGCAGATATCCCTTGAACAAATTAAATATGGCAACACATGGGGAGGTAAACTGGTCTACTGATTGAAAAGTATAAAGAATCGGAGGCAATTTAATGCTCGGTATAGACGCAGTATACCATACAGTATATTTTATTTATTTCACGGCGCGCATCATTTTGCTTCGATATATGGAAAAGCTGGGCAGCGTCGCTGGGCAATATACCACGGTTAAATCGTATCATTTAAATAAGCTCGGATGCATATTCATTACGTAGCTCATTATGTCCAGACTGAAATAAAACATGCTACTGAAAGGGTATAAAACGTTTTTAAAAAACTAAAAACAAAAAAATGGTGTATTCGAAAAACGTTTGATGTAGTGATTAACCTATTCAAAATTTTTCTAATAAACTTCCACAGGCTGTGGACGATAGGTTGAATCTTTCTGGATTTTTCCTTCATTAGGTTTGGTCGATAACGTCGACATCCAGTCAAAAGCTGTGCAGAAGTCATTCTACACGCGCCAGCAAAATAAATAAAATATGCTATGTGGTGTATGCTGTCTATAGCTCGAACTAAATTGCTTCCAGTTATTCATGCTTTTCTTCATTCAAGGAAATGAATGAATTTTACTTCTCCTCCCTCCTCCATAAGACGACAGAAAAAAAAATCTATTAAAGCTGGGCTATTTAGTTTAGACTGTAGACCATTTTTGATTTTGGTTCATTTAAGACTAAGTATTTTAAAATGAATTTATCAAGACTTTACTCGAAACAGAACTCTTCTTTAGATGACTAGGACTAATAGTGGATTGGTAACGCCTCAGTGCACTGGACGTATGTCAGAATATGTTAGAAATTTTGGACTAGTGGTGACCTGACATCATTTTGCCCCAGCCAACGTTAGAACCTTACACTACCCGTACTTTATTTGCTTCTAATGGCTATAAATAAACGTTTCCTTTATATTTTTCTGGAAACATTTTGGTGAGTTTCTGGATTTATTACACCCATTTTTCTTAAATACCAATACAAATTAATACAAAAAATTCTTTTCAAAAGAAGATGGAAGACGGAAACTGGTGAAAACCGTCTAACAAGAAGAAAACAACCTATTATGAAGAGAGGCAGATTATTCGGACTTTTGAATATGACCAATTTAAATCATTCACCGTTATTAAAAGAAAACTGGGGTTAGACATAAGTTCAAGGACGATTCCGAGAAGACTTCGGACAAGTCACCCGGATGGTAGAGAAGCAAGAAGTCTCTCTATCATCTTCAAAGAACACATCGCTCAAAATTTGCTCAAGATCGTTTAAATAGGAATGGTAATACGGGAATTAAGAAATCCCGTAATATTCTATGGAACGATAAAACAAACATGAATTTAATAGGTTCTGAGGGCAGGTGATATGTTGGAAGAAAGCCCAACCAAGAATAATTATCAAAACTGTTAAATATGAAGGAGGTAATCTAAAATTGAATGGAGCTTTTTCTTGATATGTGGTAAAATTTACTGGATAAAGGAGTTAATGGAACCAATGTTAATATGTTCATATTCTTCTGAGCATCATGTTAGCATTTCCATGCCTTTAATGTACAGGTTAATGATCCAAAACATACTTCCAAAACAAGCAAAGAGTTTTCTGTAACAGATTTTTTACAAGATATATTCTACTTTCATCCAGGCGTCCTTTGCGGCTTTGTTACGTGGCAACACTGTCACTATTAACTTTTCCAGACTGGTGTGAAATTGTGGGGTAACTTCTCTGCATCGCCTAGTTGTTTTGTTAGCTTGTAGAAACGGTGGAAATAGATAATTTTATTTATTTTACCACAAATTAAGAAGTACACTAAGTTGGAATTAACGGAAACGTAACACAAGTACACAAGACTTTTTTCTATTAAAAAATTAAATAATTAATAAATGTTTATTCATATTCATCATATTTATCATTTCCATCAATCATATTTACATCCTGTTGCCAATGCCGTACTCTTCATATGATGTTAGATGTTAATGATATTAGAATTTGAAACAATATTGTGTGACACACGTTGGGAAACTCTTTTGTTTCGCTTGCTCTCTTCTTATCGAGAAAATCCTCTCATTGCATAAAGTTATTCTTTTTTCAACTACTTGTCCGCTCGTTGCATTTTTTTCCCTTAATTCAATCAACTCGCGTCTGTCTTTACTTAGGCGGCTGGCTAGATTGAAGTCAGTCGTTAAAGTCGGACAACAAACGCAATAACAACACCCAAGGCTCCAGGTGGGAATCAAACCTACAACCTGCTGCAAGTCAAGTTGGCAGGTCTAACGACTTACCAACCGAGCCATCCTCGATCACTTAAAAAAAATTATTCTTTTTTTATTTAGTTGCACGAATTGCTATTTTTCGATTATTTAATTATTATTGTATTATATAAATCTTCAGGCAACATTATTAAAATAATATTTTAATTAAACAAAGTGGCACCAACAAGTTTTGGTTTTTTATATGCGAATATTATGCAATAACTTCAGAATCTCTTTAAATTTTTGGGTACATTTTTAGAATTATTACGTTCTTCCAATAATTTCTGCTAAATACTATTTAGAGTGGTGTTCGAAATATTAAAAATATCGAATATAAATAATTATATTATAGAAATATTTAATATAAATAGTTGTCTAATGCAATGGGAAAAGAAGTCGTTGGAATTTGCAAATTAAAATATCGTTTGCTAAATACTTATCTAAATAATTGCGGAATAAAGTATTTTGATTTTATCGTCTAATAATATTATATTAATATTAATTATAGTCCGCAAACATATAAAAACTATTTTAAACTATTTTACTGGACGTTTTAATTTCTTGACTTTTGCTTTTAATCAAATCAAAATAAATTTGAAAAGTTTCTATATTTTAGTAACAATTATCATTTTGAAATTAACTTTGATAAAAGTTATTCGATAAAAGTATTCTTTTTAATAGTTACTTTTCTTCATTGTAACCTAAGATATAAATAAAAATAAAGTTGAACAAAGAATGAGAGGGATAGTAAGTAAAGTACGGAATATTCAATAATGTGTCACCACTGTCACCGAAAAATATTTGGCTATATTACTTTTTTTAATGTACCTAAACGTAAGTCGTAACAATGTTTTTCTAAATATGCTCTCAAAGTGCATACCTAGTGCAGACCTCTGAACTAAAGTATCTTTTTAGGTGATCTTCGATATATTCTCTATAAACTTTTGCCTCGAGATAAAAAGTGTCTCTTTAGTTCGTTGAATACCATCTAATTTTTTTCCCAAATTCATTTAAAAAAAAACACTTTCCAATTCCTGCTCTAAAATACCTATTATTCAGTGTGGCTTAAAGACGTTACCTAGAGCTGCGAGCCACTTCGGATATTTCCGAGCCAGCGCTTTGGTTCTGATGGTAAAGCTACGCATATGGTATGCAACACCTTGTAAACTTCTTTAGTCACTCATTTATTAAGCACTCGCTCCGTTCGTGCCAAATAAACCAATATGGCGTTTATCAAACTTGTTTAGCAAATATTTCTAAAGTTTTCTTTTAAAGGAAACTTTCACAGAATAATGTAAGACTATTTGCAAATATTCTGCATTCTACTTGCGTCGGTGGTTGATAAATCGACCTTGATGACGTTTCGCAACCATCCTGGAGATCTCACAGCTGGTCCTGTTCATAAATTTGACCGTTACAAGAAAAATATGTTCCAGTCAAGCATTTTTCAATTCGGTTGAGTAGGTTTGGTTCCAGATTCCCGAATTGCAATATATCTGAAAGAGCCATGTCAAAACTAACCAGAGAA